CCTGTCTGCTGCACAGAGCCACATCTGCCACCTCCATCGTTGGCTGTGACCCTCGCATTGCTTTCCAGCCAACTCGTTGCTTCTCTTTCCCTTCTAACTACTCTCTTTTCTAGGCAACAGTTCACCTTTGCATCCCCACCTTGTAAATCATCATCTGACCTCCTTATGGCCCTTCAGCGTACTTCACAAGCTTCCTGGGAAACTAGCTGTAGGGGTTTTCTTGAATCTTGCTTATCTGGGTTTAAGAGAGCTCTTGTGGGTTGTGTGTGTGTGTGTTTTTTGGGTTTTTTTTTTTTTTTTTTTGAACAGACTAACTTTTCTTCTCTTGTCCTAGGAAATGTCAGGTTCTTCTCCCCTCTTATTTCAAGCCAAGCTGCCCAGTCTTACCTGAAGGGCTTCAGTTGTGTCTTGTGTGCACGGGGTGGTGGCAGCCTCAYGTAGGTAGGGGCAGCGCTTCCCGTGCGCCTCACCACTGTTAGCAGGAGCTTTATGTAAGCAAGAGAGAAGCTTCCCAATGCCTGTGATCAGGTAACTTGTAATGATTTGGAATCAAGTACTAAAGTTGTGTCACTTTTTTTTTTTACAGAACTTTCTTATAGAGGATGTTAAAAGAAGGGGGAAGAAGTCTGCAGACCAGAACTCAGTGCAGTAAACTTTATGAACGCTCCCTTTCCTTGCTTTTATTCTGAAATAAGAATCTCTATTTGTGGGTAGGAGTGATATCTTTGAGGACTGTTAATTTTAAGTGGTGCTTCTAGCAAATGCGCCAGCTCAGGGCAGTGCTCAGCTCAGCGGGCTTGTTAAGGCAGGCTGCTCTGTGTGCATGAYGCTGGCCAGCCCAGTGCCTGCTTAGGAAGCCCCTTCCCCCCATGGCTTATGGTGCCTCCTGCCAACATGTTATCCCCAAGCTTGGCCCTGCAGCCATGTTGCCCTTTCCAAGGGTGGAGAGGAAGCCAAGGCTTCCTTCTTTGCCTTGGCACATCTGTTTCAAARGCTGCACGAAGCAGCTCAGGGAAACTAGCGTTAATTTTCAGGCTCTTGCTCTATGGTTCAAACTGTGAAAGACACATTTCTTTCTGCTCTAGCAAGGATCTTTGCAACAACTGCTGCCAGGTGTTTGTTGCAGTATCTCTACTAAGTGAGTACGCTGTATCTTAAAGCAGTTGTAGTGGTTCTCCTTTGCGGGTGAGGTCTCTCCAGCTGTGCTGCAGGATGGTCCCAGCACACGCAGGCATATGGGTTGTGTTGGCTCATCCAGGGGACTGGGCAGCTTTATTGTCACGCTTTGCGTGTGCTGATCATTGGCATTTGTCACTTTGAAAAAAGGTCTGATTTGTGTCGTGTTGCGCTGCYGGGCCTTGCTAGAGTTGACTTTGATGTTTTTTAAAAAATAATAATAAATAAAAGGCAGAGCAAGCCTGGTGCTGGGGCTGGCCCCCAGGGCATGGGAGCAGCCCTGTGTACAGGTGGGAACAGGGAGCAGAGCAGGCAGTGCATGCGGAGCGCGTCTGTACTGSCCATGCCTGCCGTGCTGCCCCACGCTGCCGTAAGCGCTGCCCCTCGAGCCTTCCTGCTCGGCAAGGTGGTTTCAGCTCCTTCAGGAAGCTGTGAGGTCTCAGGGTTGGGAAGAAAAGGATAGAAGCTGTCTGATTTGGAGCAGTTACAGTAAATAAAATGACATAATTTATCATTTGAATTTGTAGCCACAGCTCCTGTTGGAGGGCAGTGTGATTTAATAAGCAATTTACTGTGCTGTATTTACTGAAATTGCTATGTCATGCCTGCAGTTTTTATGAAGGCTCCAATTACATTTGTAACAGTTAAACTGCATCTGGAGTTAGGAGCTGAATACTGAGGGCTTCTTCCTTCTTTTAACTCGGCAGGCTCTGGCACGGTGCAGTAACGTCGTTGCTGTGTCCAGATCTGATTTAGATAATTATGGTTATGTTCCTCCTTGCACCTTTGAGCTTTATCAGCAGAAACAGCTTGCATGACGCTCAGGCTGCTCACATTAATGAGCAAACCAAAGGCACCATGCCCCAGATTAGCAGGGGGCACCTGCATCCATGTGAAACGCAGCGAGAACTTTGCCTCCTGCCCCTGCAACATAGCAGGGCCCCGTCGCGGCAAGGAAGCGCTCAYGGCAGAGCTCGCAGAGCCGCGCGGCACGGCGCGGCTGCCACGCACTGCTTGGGCTGGGAGCCGTGCGGAGCCGCGCAGGGGCTCCCTGCTAAGGTGCCTTTGCCCAAATGCAGCTGGCAGGGCCGGCCCTGGCCCAGAGGCAGCCCGAGTGGCGGCTCTGCTCGCTGTGGAAGCTCAGCTCTGACTGGATGTACTTCATTTTTTTCAGGGGCCTCGGCTTTTCTAAGCATGTTGTGCTCTAGCATCAGTCTATTCCAGTTGTTATGTGCTCAGCTGGAAGCCTCTTATTTATGAATAGAAGCATTACTTGCAGCCTCAAATATGTAGGTACTTGGAGGGACTCTTGCTGACTGTGCAAATCTTCTTTTTGTTCATTGGTTATAATGTTTTTTKTGTGTGTGTGTGTGGCAGCTGGATTAAATTAAGACTGAAGTCTCTGGGCTAGAAGCCCTGATGGGACTTTTGTGCAAGGGCTGCAGTTTGCAACCAAGTCACTTTGGCTGGATCTGCAGCAGGGCGCCCGCAGACGTCAGATGCTGCAAACTACCTACCTGCAAACTTTCATTCCGGATGAAGCCAGCCCTGTAGCAGCTGTATTGTATTGCAGCCTATTTTAGAAATAATTAGCTTGGATTTAGACCAAAAATAATGTGGATGAGTTAAATGCAGAGCAAGCAAAGTGCCTGTTGCTCAGCGCTGCTGCGTCAGTGTTGCCGGCGCTCGGATTCTCTGGCTGCTCCTCTGCAGAGGAGGCAGCAGCTCCGCTCACCCCGCTCGGGCCTCYTGGGCTATTCCTTGGCCTCCAAGTGTGGCTCAGAGCTAAAACCAGCCGTGCTGAGGCTGCACTGCCCGATCTGTGAGGCGCTGGAGCAGGGAAAGGGGGAGTCCTACTGCCCCCATCCCTGCTTTCCCATCTCGCTTGGGCCTGGAGCGTTTCTGGAGGGCAGCAGAGCTTAAATTCACCATTCCAAGGGGCAGATAAAGGCACAGCCAGTCACAGGTCTTGACAGTTCTGCCTTTTGTACTTTTTTTGTCTTCCTCTCACTGTGTAACAACAGAATCCTCTCYATATTATGTTCAAGTTTGTGGCTTGGGGAGGACTTGCACTGAACAGTCACCACAATCCAGGTAAGCYTCTGCTCTACGTGAAGAGGAAAATCTTGACCTTCTAGCTGCTCTAACTTGGTCTTTTATTGTCCTTATGTGAGGCAGAATATACAGTGAATCCTGAGTATTTGGAAACAGAATTTGCAAGGAAGGTGCAGCAACAAGGGCAGAACAGCACTTCCATCTTCTCCCTCATGCAGTGTGCAAATAGAAAGTTGAGTGAAACCCCAGTGTGTTTTTCCTTACGAGAAACCCGCAGCGCAGCGAGCGCTGGGCGCCGGTGCCGCTGAGGTGAGGGGCGGGCACCCTCCGTGCAGGGGCGAGCGGCGCGCGGGAGCGCAGCGTGAGAGCGGTGCACTCRCCATACATTTTTGGTGAAGGTTCCTATCATACATTTCTATTTTTAATGCAGTTAAAATTAAACTCTGCAGCCAAGGCTGAGCGCTAGAGATTCTTTCTTCACTAGTTCAGCACTGCCCACGTCTTTTTTTTGCCGACGTTGTTCTCTTTGGGATCCTCCATTCCTACGCAGGCTGGAAAGTATCGTCGCGCTGCCTCAGGAGTGACCTATTAAAGGACTTCCATCAACGAGCAGATGAGATTGTCATGACGGTGTCTGGTGTCAACTTCTAATTTGTAAGCATTCTCCTCGGCCCGCTGTGGATGCTTGCTGCTCAGAATCCRCATGAAACTGTCCTTGATTCACCCTGCCTCGTGCTGTTGCTCCGATGGCGCCAGTGGGAGTGGGGAGCACTGCTGGCACTGAGGAAAACTTGATAGCTAGGGGCAGTGTCAGTATTAAATCCCAAGGGTGCAGCCTTGGGGTAACCACCCTTAGAGGGGCCTCTTGCTGGAGCTTCCCAGGCACCTTCTTGCATTTTCTTTTACTGGCCCCACTTACCTTGCATTTATTTTGGTATTGGTCTTTACTCCAGCAGGTATTAAATTTCTTGAGGCCACTGCTGTCAYTTACATGCTGTCCAGGTGACTGGATAGGCACCCTTTGCTAAGCAAAGGAGAACAAAAGCTCTTAGACGGAGGATGGAGCTCAACTGAAGAGCACTTAGAATTTGCCCTCAGCAYCATTTAGTACAGAGGAAGAAAAGAAGACGATGGCAGCTTGAGTTGGCTGCAGTTGGAGGCGCCTTGGCCAAGCAAAAGGGCTTGTGTTGCTGTGTGTAGGGAGCGCGGGGCCTGGCTRCTGGCCCCACAGCCCTCAAGTGGCTCATCCAAAACACTTTCTGGTCATCAGGAAAAAGAGTATTTAAAGAGTATTTACTCTGTGTGYGTGTGGCGTGTGTGTGTCTGTGTCTGCAAAAAATGTTCAAAATTTGGCAATGCCTGCCTCATAACTCAAAATGTAGAGACTCTAGCTACTTTTTCCTTTCTCTCATAGGTGAAGATTATTACAATTATTCTTCTTTATCTTGCTCTTCATTGTCTGGCAGGTGGAGGTGAGAATAGATTGAGATTTACAGTAAACTCACTCAAAGGTTACACATAGAACTTGGCTTATAATTTTTAACAGATTTTGTACTGTATTAGCAAAGTGTAATTACATAGGGAAAGAAGTGTCTGAGAAGTAGACATGAAAAATACATTTATGAGCAGTAGCCATGCTACAGTACAGGAGATCTTTCTTGCTTTTAAATGAAGATTAATTATTATTATTCCAAATTCATTGCTGTGAGGTTTTTAACCCCAACAATAGAGGTAAACCGAGCACAGCAGTGCCAGCTGCACAACAAAAAGCACTAACCTTGGAGGAGCACCTTGGGGAACGATGTTACAGGAGTGCTGTCCAAATAGGATTTGAGGCTTCACGCAGGAGTCCTTGTGCCTTTTGGTTTTCTTTTTGCCACGGCAAGTATTGAACAGAATTCCAGGTCTGAAACTTAATGTTCACTGAGCACTCTAAAGCTTCTATTGACTGAAAATGTACCTAATGGAACAAAATGGGTAGCACTGGGTGAAAGACAATGTTACTTTTTGCTCATGACATGTTTGCTCATGACATGACAAGTGATAGAAAAAGCCTTTGTATGGATGTCAGATTAAATGAAACTTTTTTTTTTAATGGTCAAAGTTTTTGATTCAAACAGTGGAGAAATTTCACCATGTTACTGCTTTTTGTCAGCTGTAAAACTTTTTAATTGTAAGTTATTTTTATGTTATTATGGGTATACCTTTTACTCATTAAATGTATTTGAAAACTGCAGGGTTTCCTTGCCTGTTTTCTGAACTGGAATCTAACCTCCAACTCTGAAACCCATTTGTACAGCAGTGTCCTTGAGAGAGCTGGGGCCCCTGCCCTCTGAGCTGGGGCTGCTGTGGAGCTGAACATAAATCTCCGAAACGTGTCTATCCAAAGGCCATCGAAGTCTTGGTCAACCTAAGCCTTGGATGGGCACTTGCACCTTGTGGCATTAATCTCAGGAACATATTTAAGCAGCCCCTGACCTTGTCCTTTTCCCGTCTTTGCGAGAAAGCAGGAGACAGTGGAGGACTCTGTCCTTTTTCCCTTCTGCACATGCAACCATTTTTAATTACAGCTGGGCCTTCTTTACTCCTTTACTCAGCATACTCATTTATTAGCGAGGTGTTAGTGAACAGCACTAGGTTTCACCATCCCTCGAGTGAAGATGTGTGGCTTTCCCTTGCAGGAAGCTGGAGAGGCTGGGCTGGCCCTTGCTTGGTGACACCACTCACCAGCACCACGTAAGCTCTGAGCCCACTCACAGGCTCGCCAGGAAGCTGTCGCCGGGGGCCGCGTTTCTGGGCACCCACCATCGAGGGGACAGAAAAGCCCGGCCATAGCAGCCGCTATCTTGCTCCAAACCCTTCTTCATTTTTTGTCCTGCCTTTGGCTGATGCATCCAGCGAAGGCTAGAACTTAATGTAAACTTAAAACTCCTCTTTGAAGTATATCCAATGTGGAGAAAATAATCCTGTTTCATGCCAAGTCCTAGTTCATTTGCAGCGAAGAGAATGGGACCGGAACGAGGGAAGCTGACTGGTACTGTCTGTAGGCAGTTACTCCATGAAGTTATTCTGACTGTAGCTTCTTCTCCAGGATTTGCTTCACCAGAACCGGGTTGGATCGGCCTCGCGTTGCTCTTTGAACCAGTCCAATTAACTTATTGAGGACTTTCTGATTTCCTGCTTTTATTGCCATAACCTGTAAAGCAAGAGAGAGACACCATTGTTAGGAGAAGAACGGACCCCCTCATGCTCAGCTCCAGTCTCTGTAGGAATATTTTTGGACATCAGTTGTAGAAGAGCATGTTTGGGGTTACTATTTATAAGAACTGCCTTCAATTCTGTGCAAAGGTTTGTGCAATTTCTACTCTGCTCCCATGGGACAACATGCAACTCTCTCCAGCAGCAGGGCTTACAACTAATAAAGAGATTTGCTTTTATTGAAAAAGTCAAGAAAACATTTTTGGATTTAAACAGTTTCTGAAAGTTTRAGAGTGACTCCCTGGAAAACAGCCAGAGAACTGCACTGGATTCTCATTTCCCCCACTAGCACAGAGCCTGCTTTTGCCTCAATCCACTGCTCAGTTATAGCAAATACCTGAGCCTTCAAGGACAACTTACTGGATACTACTCGTGCTGTCCTTCAGGGGAAGACTTAAGTGGTTCTTTTAAGCAAGAAATCCTCTTTAAGAGAGCRATTAGCTTAGGAGAATCACAACCTAGCAGAGAGCCAGGATTTGTTTACCATCACCTACACAATCTTAGGGGCTGTTATTTAAAAGCTAAGCAAAAACATGGGCGRGAGAAGCGGGGGGGCTGAGTGAGGCACTCGCTTTCAAGCATCTCTAAAGGAGATGCCACTGTTGAAACACCAACTTGTGGCCCTCATCCTGTGTCTATGGCAGGGGGGGCCTGCTCTGCATTGTCAGAGTTGCTGGGCACAGCCTGACAGCTCCTGCTGAGCGGAGGGTTGGATTCGCAGRCAGACAGTGCGGGCAGAAGGGCTGATAAGGAGCAGCGCAGCCCGCGGCAGCAACACGCACATGCAAATGCCACCCCTCATTACCCTATCTGAGTTAGTGGCAGGCTGCACGCTTATCTGGACTGTCTCAATATGGAAAGGACTCATTATTCCTTATCTGCTCAAAATTACCTAGACGGGGAGGAGGTCAGTGCAGGCTTGATACTGCATTCTCATAAATTGCTCTGTGTTGGTTTGCGCAACTGGTAGCGAGTTAATTCATTTTCAAGACAAAGTTACTGTCAACCAGCAAGGCATAGCTCTTCTCTCCCGGCAAGTGCTCAGCTACCTCGGTGCTTGCAAGGTAAGCTCGCTTAGCCAGTTAAAGCACTGAATTACGGGACTCCAAGACAGCTATTGCCTTACTGAAAGATCATTTGGAAAAAGTTGTAAAGGGAGACTAGTTTACTGCACTCAGCTTGACTGAAACGCTGGAAAAGGGTGAGGAATTAAATTTGCAGAGAAGGCATTACTGCCCAAATGGGAGCGTGGTTAGGGAGCTTCAGCTGCCGCGCTTCCCAATCACCTCTAATGTTCTTTCTGCCACACTTGTGCTTCAGCACCCGTCTGAAACTGCAGCAGCACTTTTATCAGCCTCTGCAAATGAGTCAGTCTGATGGAGGTCACACCGACCTACCGCAAGCTCATTTTCTTTATCAAAAGCTCTCACAGAGCTGTTAGCGCCCCCAGTGAGCTCTGGGGTGGGTGGTATTGTTCTCAAAAGATGCTAATGCCTTTTTTTCCAAATGGCAAATGCATCTAGACACTGTTTATATTAGAAGTAAGCTATTCACTCCTGCTTTTAGTTTTTTTTGTGCTCCAGAGGATGCACAGGCGCTCTTTTCCATTTTGTTTTCCTCCAGCAGCCGTTAGACACTGCCTGGAGCCTGCCGGCCCCTGCCCTACACGGAGCAGGCTCTCCTCCGTTTTCCCAAGCAGGGCTGTACCCAGAGACTGCTGCAGCCCCTCAGACCTGCCCAGATGGGGACAAGCCTCCCTGTCCCCCCTGGTGGCACCTGCGCTGCTGCAGGAGCAGCAGAGCTCGAGCCCCTGCAAGGCTGCTGCCACGTGGCTGCCTCCCCGGCCCCTGTTGTGTGCAGGGGCCTCGTCCCTGGGAAAGAGTGAAGCTCTTGCCTCGCCAGTACCGATACTGCCTCTGAGCCCCTCGCTAATACCTCCTTTGCTGGCAGATAATCTCGCTCTCCATATTCAGAACCATTTAACACTGCTGCCCTAGCATCAGAGAAGACGACACAAAAATGACAGCTTTGTTTATCCACGCGGCCAGGTCACGTTCCTGGCAGCGCGCTCCATAGCTGCAGAGGAGATGACCTCCACAGCTCTGCCTTCCTACAATTATTTCTTACTGTCTTTCAGAAGGACTTGGCACATTAGCCAGACCGGTAATTTCTTCTGCTGTTCATTTTGTATATGCTCCAATTTAAAAAAAAAAAAGAAGAAGAAGAAAAAAGACCCTGATGAGAAGTGAGCAGCCTCTCTATAAAACCATGACACACCTCCTATGCTGGCTCTAGAGCTCCCATACCAGTGAAAAGGTGGGGAAAAGGCCACCTCCACCCCCATTTGAGTGCCACGGACTATGAAAGTGCCCAAGCATCCCAGCACCAACCTCATCTTCTTGTCTATCAATCACCGCCTGGCAGATCTGTTCAAGCTCCTCTTGGTCCTGCAGCAGCTCTAGTTGCTTTTCTTTAACAATTTCGAGGGGGGTCTTCCCTTCCCCCTTCCACAGCTCCTCAAACACCTGCAAATCAGAGCGAGCAGCCGCGGTCAGTGTTTTGAGCACAGCACTGAAGTCGGTCACACGCAGCGCCTGAGCTCCCCAGGCCGGGCTAGCAGGCCTAGCTGCTCGGGAAGGCCTGTCCTGCACCCCGCACCCTGCGCCGCTCCGGCCCCGCACGGCAGCGCCGCTCTGGGACAGGGCGCGGAGCAAACGCAGCTCCCTGCCACGCGGCTCCGCGTGGGGCCAACGCCAGCTGCCACGTGCCCTTAGCAGCACTCATGAACCGGCTGCAACGAGGACACGCACGACCCCCCCCCCGGAGACAAACGGCACCGAGCAGCATCCGGGCAGCAGCTCCGGCTCAGCCAGCGATCAGCTGCCCGTATGCGGCCGCCGCCTCAACCTCTGCCATAAGCACTGGTTAATGTGAGCATGTTTTCCTGAGCTACCACTCCGGAATAAAGCCAAGCAAAGAGAACATTTATAAAAAYATAATTTCCTTGGGTAGTCATGTGCTGTATTCTCTCCACTCTTATTTCAGAAAGGTGGGAGGAGAAAGAGAGAAAACTCTTATTGAAACAGCTGCTAGGGCTTGATCTTGCACTGAAGCTATAATTGTATGTTTGGGCCCTGGCTGTGTAYGGGTCTGGAAATGGATGTCACGTCAGGAATTCAGCACTAAGTATGTATGTAGGATGGAGAGGAGGCTGACGGCGGGAGAGGAGAAGCAGCAGTTAGGCTGCATGTAAAACACCCAGCAGGGCAGCAAGACAACTTCAGAAAAATGAAGCATGTGGGACAGTGTTTAACTGTCCCAGGAACTTTCTTCATCACACAAGAATCTTCTGATACAAAAGCGGGTACTTAAGACTCTCATATTGACAGTGGTCCTGCAAGGGGATGGATCTCTGCCTTTGCCAAGGTGCTGGAGCCTTGAGGAGCAGGCAGTGACGTGCAGGGCACTGCCAGGGCCACGTCCAGTGTCAGGCGAGATGGGCAGACAGAGATCACTCTATTAGAGGGGCTGATAAGGAGCCTGAATTACAACCACTCTAAGTGAGGCCTGAAGCTGTTCATATCTAAAAATCAGTGAAATGTAAGACACCTTCTGCAAGCCCTTCCTTTCTAGCGCAGTGCTTAAAAACCACCATGCCAGCACTGCCTGAAACACCCTAGAAACAAAGACCCCGAAAAGAGACCCCACTTGCTGCTGCTGCAGCTGCCCATGGCCACTCTGCTCCTCAGCTCCGGGGCTCCTTGCCCGGGCAGAGCAGCGGCGCCCCATGGCCAGGCTGGCTCGGAGCAGAGGCGAGGGCGGCCGTGCCAAGGCGCCACTCTCCCAGCCACAGGAACGTGGGGATTCGCCCGTTGGGAGCTGCGACGGCCCCACGTTTCCCTGCGACAGCGGCGCTGCTTTCCGGCATGGCAACCGCCACGGCCCGCAGCCGGCAGAGCCGCAGCGCCGTCGAGGGCAGCGCTTGCAGGGAGGGAGGAAAGTCGAGAGAGATCCAAGTCCTGTCAAGATGTGCTTTTAAAAATGTGTTTCTCTACTTGGCAGGGAGTCCAAATCTAAAGAAAGCAGTTTAAAAAATGATTTCAGCTCATTTACACAAACTGCCTGCACCAGAACAGTGGGATMAAATTATGGAGTCTCCAGAGCCAAAACGAGAATCTCAAGCCTCATTTCCATTACTGAACTCTCAATAGTTTCTACTATTGATTCTTGCCTGAGCGTGATTAGATTTTAATGATGTTCTGCAGTCTCTACCTACACAGGCAGAGCAGCAAACCATTGGTCAAGATGAATTAATCTGGACTTAACGTCCGGCTGCCACAGGCATCGTATCAAACATTTTGCAATAGGTGGATGTGCCAGCGACTGCTGTGCCCGGGAAGGGCTCCGAGCGGAAGCTCTGGCTACTGCCCTTGTTGCTGAGCTGGCGGATCCTGGCAGCCAGCACGGCGCTTGGGCCAGGCCTGCGGCCCCTCTCCCTCACAGAGACGTCTGGCGCTTTCCCCCAGCCCCACAGAACGTGAGTGGCAACCTGGGCCTGGCTTCCAGCTGGGGAGGGTGCCGAGGCAGATGGTGCAGCTTAGGCCTGGGTACAGTGCTGCTCTGGGCGCTACCTGCTTGCACACCGGGGCCCTGTCGAGGCAGCGCTGCAGGCAGGACCGACRCAAGGACGCAGGCAAATGCAGCCCGAGGCCCGGCCTCTCCCGCCTGCTCCACACAGCGGCTCGCTCTGGAGACGCCYTGCAACCCCCTGCAGTCTGCTGCTGCATGCGATGGCAGGCGGGGCGGGAGCTCTGTAATTACCTACGTGCTAATTATGTAAGCACGCCGTGCCTGGTCCTTGGCATAGAACTGGCGCTCGTGGCTTTTATATATCTGGTTTTAATGCCTTATTCAGCAGAGACTGAGCACAAGCCTCCTAAAACCCTCAAGTGTTCCCAGGTTCCCGCAGCGCCCACGCGTGCGCCCACRTGTCGGCGAGCTGGCCCCGCCGAGCCCTTGCGCCGCTCCTCGTGGGAGCCGGCTCACSACGGCAGTGCGCGCCGCCAGCCCGCGTGCTGCCGCGCGTACGGCCGCCCCGCGCACCCCCAGGGCACACGGCCCGTCCCGCGCGCCCCCAGGCTCAGCAACGGCGGCCAGCGCTGCTGCTCTGCCTCCACTCCCAGAGCACCAAGGACAACGCACRCGTTACCAGGAGGCAGTAACTGAACAAGGGATGCACCTCTGGAACTCCTCACGTTCCATAACCTCTCAGCAACGCTGGCATACAAACACATTGCAGGCAAAAAGCTCCTTCCCAAGAGCACTGGTACCTCTCCCTCCACAGGGAGGCTGCGAGTTAACCATGGAGCTGTGAAGCTCCTCTCTCAAATGCAAACACCAAGCTGATGGGTGCTCTATGACCTGCAGGCGCAGAACTGCTGTGCATCCCAATGCACTCACTATTAATATTTTATGTCCTTCCGAAAGCTTTTACTTTTCTAATCCAAAATCTCCAAATATATATGCCTGAAGTTAGACCTTTAAATCTATAGTTATGGTGCTTGCAATAAGCAGCTCGCTACCCCCTTAATCTTCCCCCATGCCTCAAAAAAAAAAAAAAAAAAAAAAAAAAAAAAAAAAAAAAAAAAAAAAAAAAAAAAAAAAAAAAGAAAAAGAAACTCAGGAAGTTTAAGTGCAAGTGTGGCCAAGCAAGGCAAACATCTACAATTCTCACACTTGCTTTATAATCATTGAGAAAGTGAATTGAGCCCAGCACAATCCCACAGCTGTGCTGGACCAAACTGGCATGTGCCAGAAGAGGGACATTACAGAGCGCTAGAGCTTGAACCRCTTACCACAAGGTAAGTTAGGTATCTTCATTAATGATTTTACTGATGACCACCAGAGAAGCAAGAGTTATCTAATGTACTTATCTAGATGATATTAACTAATTTGAAAGGACAGGACATTCTACATATAATGAGCCTGTGAGAATTTAAGATGAATGACAGATTTCTTCAGACTGTCCTAAGCAGGATGATATTTAAAAAGAGAAAAAAAAATACTTTACCCTCAAAACTTGCTCAAGAGGCCAAAGATAGCAGAAGCAGTCAGAAGAAAATGAAAGAAAGGGCAGATCTCTCCCTTCTTCCTCAAGAGACATGCCAAAGCAGGCCCCTCTCTGCAAGTACGCCCAGGGGAACAACCTCCTTTTCCAAACACTAACATTTGAGAATGTAACACCTAGTATGCCATAATAGCTAGTAGTTTAAACTCCCAGCTTAACTGTGAGGAATGGATTAATTTCTACTGGCCTTTCAGCCAGGATTGTAACTACCAGCCTGAGAGGCAGCGTTCGGCCTGTTTGGAAGCACCATTTGTTTAACTGACCTCAGATCTCATTGCTTAAACTTAGTATGTGGTTTATGAGAGCTGTAAAATTATATGCATGAGGCATTATTATTTATTATTTTATATAGGATAGAAGGAAATTTATCCTTCATCAACTCTAAATAATTTATTTTTTTGAGGAAACCAATGTACTAGTACATAGCATTTAAAAATTTGCTATGTAAACGGAGTAAGCAGTCAGACATCCAAGCTACAGTAAAACCAAAAGGTACTTACTTGTTTGGCTGCTGAAGAAGAAATTTCTTTTCTTTCTAGGAGGTTCAGAAGGTCAGCCAGGAGAAAAGAACTGACTGGGCTATAGAAGAAGGGTCAAAAGTTACCTCATAACATAAAGGTTAAATAATATATCCAGGCTACTGTTGTTTTCCTAAAGCTCACACAAGTACCCTTCCTCATGATACATTAAACTTCCAAGGTCTGTTTTTGGCTGCCTGATTGGATCTTACCATTGCAGATTTCAAAGAAGAACCACTAATTATTACTTTTAAATAAATGGCCCTCATCTGGAAGGCACTTGGTTAACTTAATTCATCACAACACTGCCAAGGCCCAAAGAGTTTTCCCTAGACTAACAAACTTTACAGGTAATAATTAAAGCAGAAGCAAGAAAAAAAAAAAAAGACACTATTCATGATATGTATGAAAAGGAATGTTTTGTTTTACCACTGTAGTAACCAGAAAGCCTTACCTGTCCTTCACTTCACAGGCATGTTCTTTTAAACAACTGAGCAGGTCATTCAGAATCCAGCCGATCACCTTCTTTGGCTTCATCTGTGTGTGTTTTAGCACGTTTTCAAAGTATTCTGCTAATCCATCTTCATTCTGTTTAAGAAAAGTTAAATGCATCAAAAAAATTGAAGTAAAAGCAAAAATTGATGCAAAAAGCATCACTACACATGATACTCARACTATAAATACAGAATCCTAAAGTAATCTTGATTTGAGGAATTCACTGCAAGGTGGCAAGACTTTGGGATAATTTTATTAAGGTAGCCAAGAAACTGTTACGCCTAGAATACATATGTACAGCCTGTCTGCCAGCCTGTTTGAATGCAACTTCTGGGAATGAAATCTTCCAGGAAGGAAGCAACTTTGTTTCCTCTTCACTCCTTCCTACAATTAACATTTGGGRAAAAAAAAATTCATCTTCTCTTGTATTTTAGAAAATGCATAAAATTCTAGAAAGCTCAACACTCCCGTCTAACAAGCTGCCATGACATCTTYCATCTAGAAAATATTTTTTCCTGAAACTACCTACAGATATTTCATTTTTGATCCTGCAATCATCTCTCTCTCTCTTTTTTTTTTTTTTTTTGATGGATGGAATAAGATTACCTTGAGTTCATGCTAGAATGATACAGCCAGCTCCTGCCATAAGAAGTGGGGTTTTATTTCTCTATTTTTCTGCACAGAAACCATGCGAGGTTTTGCACAGCACACTGCACGCTCGGAAGGTACAACAGCAGGAAATTCAATTTACAGCCCAAGTAAAATGTGTGGTTGCTTTAAGACGAACGGATACTGCACAGTCTGACGAATGCTCTGCTGTTTGTCATCAAGGCCATGATGGATGTTTAACTGTTGCACACAGCTCATGTAGGTCTGCCGAACACTTCCTACCTTCTCGGGGAGCCTCCAAAGCCGATGTGTCCCCGGCCTTCCACGCTCAATGGCATGAGTGCGCGGAGCGCAGGCTGGCTCCGAGTGCTGGGAGCCACGCGATGACCAACCTCGGAGCACTGTCATCGCAGCAGGAACGTTCTCCGAGCACACGCCAACTGCGGCCCGCTCACCCTGACCACAGCCCAGCAAGGATGCTGCAGCTGTGCACCAAACCACCGCCTGCCTTTCCCACCCAAATACACCCACCAAGCCGTCTCATTTGCCCCCTTGTCTTTAAAGTCAACCTGTCACCATAAAATACAGATTCTCAGGTTTTTTTCCTCAAAGCCTTCAGAAAACTCCCAACATCTTCCTCTTTCACTGGTCATGATGTATGGCCTTTGAGAATACTGCAGACCACTACTGCTCTCAATTAAAACTGCAAAACAGAGCAAGGAGCACTGAGATTAATGGGTGGAGGTGCTGCACAAGTGGGGAGACAGCAATCAGACCCTTCACCTTCACCTTGAGGCCACGAGCAAAGAACTGAAATTCTTAGTCTAGGTCAGCACTGAGCTCCTCTGTGAACCCTGGTAGCTGCAGTCACTTCCCTTACTTCTGTACGTACTTCCCTTCCTCTCTGTTGTTCCTTCAAATTCAATTAGCAGTTACTTAATAAACAAATAATGTCAAATCTAAATATATTAGAAGACCAAATTTGACTTTAAAATAGCAAGGAAATGATGTGGTTATCAAAGTACACTGAACTTGATTAAGAAGTGTGTGTTTTATTATTCAAGTGATGAATTACTAAATTTTTCTGTTTTTYTTTTCCTCCTGATTTACCTCAGGTTCATTAGTATAAACAAACACAGACTACTGAAACAGCGGGTGCACTTTCATACAAATGCAGTCCAGTTCCCGTAGGGAAAGAAGTGCTACTGCTGCTTTTACTCATTTAAGGGCCGCAGCGAGTTTTTCCAAAGCCTTTATGCTGCGCAGCTCAGAGCCACCCACAAGGGGAGGCGGGCAGAGGCGCTGGCCGCGGCGCACGCAGGAGCGCGGCGCACGCAGCGAGCACAGCGCACGCAGGAGCGCGGCGCACGCAGCGAGCACAGCGCACGCAGGAGCGCGGCGCACGCAGCGAGCACAGCGCACGCAGGAGCGCGGCGCCGGCACGACGAGTGTCTGCCCCCTCGCCCGCAGCCTGACTGAGGGACAGCAGCAGCCTGGCTGGCGTTACAGCTCTGACACCGATGCCAGACCTTCGAAAACCAAGGACAAACGTACTCACTCCTCGTGTTTTAATCAGATGATTTGCAGGGTGCAGGAGGACATAAGGCCAGGAGCTCTCAAACAGAGGGTGGACTTATTGAGCTTGCTGCTTCTGCACATGAAAGTAGACATAATTCCCAAAAATCCCTCCCCTCCCTTCTCTTTCTTTTAAGTGACTACCTTTTTCTGTGGCCAAAGAGTAAGAGACCCAGCACTGCTAGACTGAAATAAGTGAGGCAGAATGTCAAAAAAACCACRAGTGACAGAAAAAAATTCCTTCCTTATTTTCTTGTCATATAAAAACTGCAGGAATAACTTGATTGTCTTCAATTTTTAGATTCTCTGTCTGCTTTAAGTTGACTCCAAGCTGTGCAACTTGGTCAACTTTTCTCAGGCCAAATTCACTCAAAGTAACAAACTCTCACTGGAAAGAAAAAGGACCTTATTAAGTTTAAGGGAAAATAACCAAAAGTAATAAGGGAGGTAGAGCTCTGACACAGTGAGCTCTATCATCCAGCATYATAAATAAATAAATAAATAATAWTTWAAAAAAATCAAAATCCTAACTTAGAGCCTTCCCTACTAATGGAAGCATCAGTTTCCTGCTTTCTGTCCACACTAGGCATTKCAGCTTCTGTATTTCTACATCGTAGCTTATGAAGAGTTAACATACACACACACACMCCCCTCCTGAAAACCACTGCAAGCCACAACATTCTGCTTTACAGAAATGTTAACTGCCTCCCTTAATTCTGAATAACATATTTTAATCTTCATAGAAGGGAATACAGAACTGTGGAACTGCAGCCCTGTGTTTGGGATGGAGGGCCACTTAGTGCTCTCATTACACGCCAAGAACATTGCAACTTGCTCATTAGAATCTCACTGGCATGAAATCTGGCATACAATATGTCAGCCAGATGCAAATTTCTTTCTTAAACATGATGTAAAATGATCATTTAATTGTAACGAGATGTCAGAAAAAGTAGTGGCTGAGTGATTGCAGATGCATTTTAAAACACTATTGTAGCATATAACATGAATGTAATCTTTAGAGACATTTGGTCTGTAATGCAAGCCTGTGCTTTTAAAGACCAATCCTGCTTCCCAAAAGAATGAAGATGAAAGCTCCACCACTGTTCAGCAATAAAATCTCATTTTCTGCTTTCTTCTTCCCATTTTCAACATCACAGTTCCCACAAAAACTGACTCTGAGGTAACAAGTGCAGCAAAAATGTGCCAGATTGTCAGAGGAAAAAAAAAAAAAAACAGAATATCTAGCCTATTAAAGCAGACAAGCAGAGCAGWCAATGAAAGACAGCTCAAACTTCTTCATGTAGCTTATTCTGAAAAGATTTAAGTTCAAAAAGCAAGCACACATAGAGTAAATGTACAGGAAGAAGGCCTGAAATTCAGATGAGAAAGCAAGTGATGAGTCAAGTCTTTTCTAATTTTTTGACAACGGATCTATTTTTTTGGCTGAGCCTCTTTGGACTTGAACATGCCTTTTGAAAACAAAATGTCACATTACTGTCTATGTCAATAAATTCTGGGTTTTGTCTCAATAGCAGGTAAGAAACTGCTACAGCACTGCACCTAGCAAAGTTCTCAGAGCTCCTTGTTGACTAAAGGACAATATTTGACAGCCTACCAATTTACACAGCAAAGTAGAAATGGCACACATAAATCAAGGCCCTCAAATCTATGGATTCTACCTGGCTCAAAGTACAGCATCTCCATGATTAAGTAGGACTTTGCAAGAAGAAAGTCATAATCTTCATTTATTATTGCAATTTATGTAAAACTATCAAAAAATCTAGCTGTTTACACTTAAGAAATCTGAGCTATAAAGATACTCACAGCTAAAGCTCTCCTCCCATTTCAGCTCATCTCATAATTAGGCAAAGCCTAAAAGTCTCATGGCTGCCATTCTCCATACTGCAGTACATACCAGCAGCTATTGTATACACTTGGCAGAATGAAGCAAGCTAGGAAAGTGACTWGCATTTTGAACTATGGCATTGTTTCAACGTAACTTTGGTGCATAATCTGTTCTTTAACAAGCTGGCACCGAATAGAGATTTTGCATTTTAGAGAGATTCCTCCACCACTGCCATTCACTTAATGAGCACTCCTGGGCGCCCCAGCCTGCAAGGGTGCTCATTAGACGTGTGTTGCTGGCCCCATCAGCAATCTTCTGCAGCTTCTGAGGCAAGCTTAACACGGCCACGCACAMACCAATTTGATAGGAATTAAGGTTAACTAGTCTCCCAGTGAACAGGCCAGCAACTTTTACATGCTGACTTTCTAATGCCATAACAACAACAGAAGACCCGCGATGAAGAACTAGTCCAGCTCATGTGCTCAAATAAATGCAGTATCTTATTACAAGCACCATCCAAATTCCTGCTTGGAGCCTGCCCATCATCTTACTTGTTACAAAAAGGAAGAAAGTAAAGGGTGAAGAAGCAAAAGCAGTAGAGGAGAAGAGGGACATTACTGAGACAAATATATGGGGCGAGTTGCTAGTCAGGGAAGAAACTGTTTAGTGGAAGTCATTGATGCCAGACTGAGACAGGGCAAGAAGTAGGCTCATGTCAAAAGAAGGAAGTTAGAAGAAGTTCAAAAGGGTGAGGAATCTATCTGCTCTTCTGAGCTTTCTTGCTTTTAAATGGAAGAAATTTGTTGATGTGAAGAAAATGGATGCATGCAGAGGGCTGCTAAATCACTTTCTGCACTTTTCATAATGAAGCAGAAAGATAAAATACTGCTGTCTGCTTGACACATCTCAGTGCTATCACTGCAGCTTCATGACTTTGATGAGGTTTCTGACACATCTGCCCACCACACTGTGAAAGACCCGCAACTCCCTAAAATGGCACACTACCACAGAAGCAGTTTTCTTAACAGCTTTCTTCAGAAAAAGAATCACTCATTTTTTTTCCTCTCTCTCTGTAGAACCAGCTTCTGCAGAAGCATATTAAAATACAGACACACAAAAGCGGGATATTAGGTAGTAAGTCAGAGGCACTACGCTCCCTGCATTTACAGTCAAAGGAAAGAAACTCCTCCAGGGGACAATTTAAAGTACTTAAGGTTCTGCTCTGAATCCCACACTGAACACGTCTTTCTTTCTTTCTCTGTCTCCACGGATCACAGAGGTAACCAAAGGAGGACACTGCCCAAGGTGAGCTGGCAAGGGGAAATTTTTACAAGCGCGTGAGTTTGCTAATGCCTGCACAGACTTATCACTGTCACAGATGCTGCAGTTTGTATTTAAGAGGCTGAACGATCTCTGGAATATTTCTGGAAGTTATGAGGTTTACCTAATTTGCATTTGTTACCTTTTCTTTTCCAAGCCCTCTTCTGAACCTGTCCCCTGCATTCTAATGCCAAAGTTGGTGTTTTATAGCCTTTTTGATTAAATCTTTCAGCTTTACCTGCCCAAATTAGTCTGGTTTCTACGTTATCCTGAAACACCAAGGTTTAAACTAAAGGGTTTTTTTTTCTGCAGTCAGAAAAGCCATCTATTAATTTGTTACATACTGCCAATGCACCCAGACTTATACCCAACCCAGAGACAGGAAAAACCTGCGCTTGCAGACAAGGACTTGTCAGTGGGAAGTTGTACATTTGCTGCAGTCAGTTACTGCTTTGCCCATGTGCAGACAGGCAAAATCAATATTAAGTATCAGTTACTTGCCTGCACTTTGCTTAAGAATTTTTTTCCAGGCACACAGCGTACCGTTTCTTTTTTCCCTACCACTCTATGTAACTCCACAGTATAAAGCAGGCAACGTGTTAGACATATTTCCAACTRAAAAAATCCATGAGTGCCGACAGCTGGTTAATATGACATTTGTGAATGTTTTCAAAAACAGTGAAACTTYGAAGTTTCTTGGTTTATTTTAGCACTTGATCAATAGACCTACCAATAAGGCGAAGCTGTGTTCAGGAAGAATCCCATACAGTTCAACAAGCTTCGCTCTCTTCACACTGGGGAGGTCAGGAAGCCTCTCTCGAATCCAATCGATATTTACCACTTGCTGATGGTTCATATTAGCTGGCAAAGATTTAGCATCATACAGAATCAATGGAGGAAGGTTTGGCTCTGGCATGAACCTAGTGAAAACGAAGAAAAACTCCTTCATAATTATTTTTAGTCAAAAGCCCAACAACAAGGAATAAAATCTGCTGCAAAATTCCTACTTTCCTTTATCTGCCACTGATTATTAAAGAGGCAATAACAGTAAAAGTGCAATTAAAACAGTTCTGCAAGCAAATTAATAACAACATAAAAGATAMGGAAACAGTCTATTCCTCTTTGCACCGAGCTTGAACTGTGGATCTGGACAGCAAGGGGAGTAAATTGGCAGGAAGAAACCACAACCACCAACAGCTGCCATGAGTGGTTGGTGTGGTTTGCAACCTTTCCACCCTMACTTCACAGATTTGGATAAAACCTCAGGCTGAGCTACAAGCAAAGGCACTCTGCTCYGCAGGGTGCAGAGCAGAGGCTGCCATACAGAGAAGGCCAATTCAAACCGCCCCAATCTCTCTGTGACTGAAGCAAAAAACTCRCTCTTACACAATCAAATGAGGGTTTCATAAATATCAGAATAAAGGACATTTGGGCATATGCTATGCTTACTGTACCACTATTTCAAAATGTCCTAAATAGGACTTTTAAGTTAAATGAACAATGTGCACTAGTAAGTTACAAAAAAATCGGAAAAAATATTATCATAATCCTCTAGCTCTTCACTTGAAATATCTTAGACTCATCAGTCTTGCTTAAGCTCTCCTGATTCTTCTTTTCTTTAAACATTTGCTCAAATTAATTGTGTTAAATAAACATTAGGCCTGCCTCTATCACATTAAGGAATTCTTAAAATGACTACTGCCATTTCTGCTGCATTTCTACAAATGCTGCTTTGAATACCTGATGCAAAAACAGTGAGTTCTTTCCAAAATCCTTGCTCYACTCTGATCAGAGCAGTGACAGAATCCACACTGATTTACAATGAACACAGATATGGCAAAGCTAGGAGACTGAGAAAGTTCTGCCTGCAGAACTACAGCTCTCTATCTGGGAAATGAATTCCAGTGGAGAGTGGGGAGTACTGGGAAGGCTGTCTCCAAGATGCAAGACCAGGGAAGGACTGGCTGGATCATTGCTAAGACATCCTTGAGCAGGGGAGGAGGCGGCCATGCACACAACAGGGGAAGGGAGAGAGGAGCCTGGAGAAGAGGAGCCCAGAGCCTTCAGCAGTCACCGAGCTGACTCTTCCTCATGCGGACACCACTGTGGCTACCTCCTCTTCCAGTGCCCTTGGCAGCATCAGCTCCCCAAACTCAGCTCCACTTCCACAGCATATTCCTGTGTTTCTATTACATCAGGGCACTCCTAAAAGAATGCATGTGTACTGATCACTAAGCAAGCCTTCAGCTTATCCACTCTGTGCTAATGCACTGCAGTGTGTGAGAAAGATCTATGGGCTTTAGCAGAACACAGCACAGTCCTGGGAAATAAGATCTCTGCCCTTGAAATATTAAATTTATTTTTTTAAATTACCTATAATCCTGTTTTCCTTCTTTATCTCTCATTGATATAGTGCACCTGAAATAAAACAACATGTTAGATACAGTAGGTGGTATGCTACAGAACGAGATTTCTGGCAAAACCACAAAACAAATACATCACCTCAGAAGGATAAGGAAAGCTTTCTCCAGCTACTTCAAAGAATATGTGTACGTAARAGGGCAGTCATTTTAATCCAAACATTGCTTGATGTAGCATTTGTCATTAGTTCCAGTATTACACAGATGTTTGCTTGGTAAAGTAAGCAAAATGTGTCTGCTAGTCCTGAGGCTACAAAGTTAGCACATCTGGGGCAYTGCTCTACGGCCTTTCCAACTCATCCTCACTGGATATTTTAAAGAAGAGGAGGGGAAAAAAAAAAAAAAAGAGAGAGAAGGAGAAATCACAGACTTCAGATGAATTTAATTTCCTTTTCAGAAATCTGGAGAGTTGTGGCGGCCTAATTCTCAGTCTGCGTCCAAATCTGCCAATCTCTTGACACCATGAGTCTACAGGGAAGTCACTCACTTTTCTCTGCCCCTTTCCCCTTCCACTATTTGCCCATCTTGTCCATTTAGACCGCAGAGTCGGAACTCTGCACATAATGTGTTGTGTCAAAGTCTCAACTTTAAGAATAAATGACTATCAGTGATAGGACTCTGCTTGTGAACATTAGCTTTAAAAGACTGAACTTGAGTGATACCATGTTATCTCTCCTGATCGTGTCACTTGATATCACTGGCATTCTAGAACTGCTATTTCCAATATTTTTCTAAAAAGAGCTCACCCAAGTTTGGAATCAAAGGCTCTTGTTTCATTCAGAATTGTTCCTCCATTTTCAAGTTCTTCAATTTGCCTCTGGATTTCATAGTCTGATAGCAAAAACAACAAAACACAATAAACTAGTTAGTTAGCTGCACTATTAGCTTTTATATACTTAACTATTTTCTTTTTCACTGCTATGTAATAATGGAAAGGTCTGTTGATTTAACCTTAATGAAATCAACACCAGTAGTTACAGGCTGTCACTTTATCTCTTCAGCACTGTTTACTTCCTGCATGTTTTCCTGCCCCTCTTTCATTCTCTTTAAGCAGAAAATGCTTCTCCCAGGCACTGCAGCCAAGCCACACAATCCTAGTGACCTTCCTATCATAAGCTGAGGATTTGGAATGAGAATTCTCATCTCCTTCACGCCAGTTTTGTTTTGGAGATGTAATCATCATCCTTTCTTGCTCTTGCCCAAGCTGCAGCTGCATGCTCTCTGAACTTAATGCGCGCACCATTGTACTCAACCACCAGCAATCMATTTCATCTGAGGACACAGAGCTACCGATAATACAGATCAGAGCTAGACATGCTCAATACTGAATCACCCATTTCCTCTTTCTTGAAGGTGCAGGGTCCCCTCTGCAAGAAAACTGCAGTCTAACATAGCAGCTACCCCCTGAGTATCCCACACTTTGCCAGAATGCAGCAAGAGCAGGGCTGTTCCACAAAGGAAAATGAGYCTGGAGGCAAGGATGGCCCCAGCCCAAGCAGTGCCCTCACTGACTAGGGATGGGTGGAGCTATGTGCTAGTAACAGGGTCCATCAACAGTCTCAGTCAGGGTGAAAAGGTGTACCAGGCCCTGGGTCCAGCCAGGGCACTCAGTCAGGAGCAGCAGGAGTTGTGGCCAGCAACAAGACTGGAGACAACAGCACAGTGCAGGTGCAAGGTCCATCAGGAGACACAACCAGAGACAGGACAGCTATGGTAATAGTTCAGGACTGAGCATAAAAATGATTCCTAGACCCCTAGCAGAGTGCATGGGTGGGCGCCCCAGGTTAAGACCTGTCAGGGCAATTAAGATCTGTTAGTGCCCTCAGGACTCTGACATATTTCACTTACTAAGACCATGTAAAACATCTACAATGCTCCAGTAATGAAGTCATCATGACTTACCTACTGCTTTGGCCAGGAATCGTATGCTATTGATATTCTTCACTTCGGTCCTCACTCCGTAAGGCTCGCCGGGGTGATGCACAGAAACATTGGCATCCACTCTCAGCTGACCCTCTGGGAAAGGAAACCTCATCAACAGAATAGTCTGTCCTGTACACTAGAATGAAAACTCTGGYGTGCGCTATAAACTGCACGTTATGCGCACTGCATTAATAACGCTCTGCCATATGTTCTGAAATGAGTAACAACCATCTCATAATAGCTTTCTGTTTGTGATTCCATTTCAAACCTCTCATCCAATCTTTCAAAATTTTCTGGGATTGCAACCTTCTTTTAATAGTACCGCCCATCACTCCTCTCAGAGAAAACTGTAGTGCAGGAAAGGGCAGATTCTCTAAGCTATATAGCAAGAAGAGTTTTTGATTCACAGCCCCTAAAGAAAGGACAGAATTAGACAAGTCATTTAAAGTGGTGGACTGAAAGCTTCAATTTCTCTAAAACACCACAAAATCACCTTTTAGAATTACAACTTGATGGATATATACTATTCTTGCATGGAAAACAAAAACATACAGTTATGTTGAATGGATTTATAAAGGTGTCCTTAGAAATRTACAGCTCAAGGACAAAATGTCAGAAACAATATATTTTTTCTACTTTTTTCTCTCTCCTTCAAGTAACTGTAATCTTTTCCTCAAAGAAATTTCCATGACTGCCAAAAAGTGAAACCATATACACAGCTTCATGTAAAAAAAAAAAAAAAAAAAAAAATTTAGTCCAAAACGGGCTAATGACTCAACCACAAGTAATAGACTTCTATCTTTGCAAGTTTTGTCTCTCTAAAAACATCCCTTCAAAAGAGAAAAGTTTACCATGGCTAGTCAGATGATGTAGAGAAGAAATGTGAGAGGTTACACTATAAAAGACACATATTTTTTTCCCATATTGAACAGAGAACATCTCTAGACTTCCTCTTTGTTGTTTAGTTTCCAGTACAGATAAAAAGAAACAAAACACGTGATGCTTCTATACAGCAGCACTACTAAGAAAATGCAAAATAGCTCAGTGTTAAACCTGTAAAGAAGTCTACAGTTGAGAACCCAGTCAGGTCAAGGGATGTAAATTGCCTAGAGAGGCCTTGGTACACTCTGTAAAAAGCAGGCTGGATGTCAGCACATTAATTTTCCCTCTCTTCACAGAATCTTGCCAGATACGTAAGTGAAGGACAAAGGTGCTGGAATGACCCAACACCTCTTTCAGGAGAAGTGTTTTGTATGGACTCATTCTTTGGGGTGAAACGAGAGCTTGTTCCAACAGGGGAATATTCTTGTCTTGTCCTTGCTTCATTTTGAGACACAGCCTGGATGCAGGTGTCAATGTGACAGAACAATGAAGTTAATCAACCCTAAGTGAAAGGAGAGCCAGGCACCATGTGCTCCTAAAAAGGCTTTTTCCCTGCGAGCCCAGCTCCTTTCCCACTTGATCATTTTGCAATGAAATCATGTTTTCATGTTTGTCTGTTGTTAATGAAGTAAGAGCTGATAAAACTGGGTGTTTGTATTCACTGAATACATAAGTAGAAAGAAGGTAAAATTAGGGCAAGTAAAGTCCTTATTTGAATACAAGTAAGGTGAGAGAAAACCATAGTAGAAAACCCTTAAAAAAATACTTGGAAAAAAATCCAAATACTTTTAGAGCCAACTATACTGGAAGAAAAACATTTCCAATGCTGGAGTTCTCCTTTAAAGTCAGAAATCTCATTGCAGCAAAAGATACCACAGTATGTTTCCAACATAACTCTTAAGGTCAAATTCAGGACTGATAAATGATGATACATGGGTACATCTACCAAGACCTGTGAAGAAGTGTGCAAAATGAGTGCTTAATTTTAACAACCATCCCCCATCTTACATGTGTAAAATCAGCATGAGAAAAAGACTCAGACAGAAGCAGCAGGCAGGGCAAGGCACCATATCAATATATAATGTCTAGCAATTATTACCCCCCCACACACATCCTTTGAATCATTAAATCAGATTCAAATCCCTGGCCAACACTGTTGGAGTCATATTAGTCTTAGTGACACAAGGGCTGCTCTAACTCGGCTCTCTAAAAGATGTACCCACTTACACTATGGCCTGAATTTCTTGCAAGATCAGTAAGGTCAACCATCAGAGGCAAAAAAATATCTTAAACTGTAAACACTAGCAGGCAGCACCTATTCGGGTGTACATGTGTTTGTGGATGAATGTCTGAAACCGTGCTTTTGAATTCTTAAGCAGAAGCCTGCTACTTACCAGCTACAGCCATAGGCTGGTTGTAAATTGTGCTAACACTACAGGACTAAGCAGAAGTGGCGCATCCTGAATCCTCCAATTAACAGAAAGAGAGACAGAATCACCAAACAGGAAGCTGATTTAACACTGTACTTCTGCAGACAGGGAAAGTTGGGGCCTTCGRGGTCCAGAAAACAGAGCTGCTGTCAAAGGAAGGGTTTCCCAAAAAGAAGTGATCTCAGAAAAGTGAAGATCTTGATTGAAGGAGAGGTCCTGGAAGTGGGAAAAGATACTGCAGATCACKGAGCTGCACAGACATAGATGAGTGTGGGAGGAGCCCAGGGATCCTGGCTGGTGACGCCCAAGACTGGTATCTACAAGCAGTGCAGCATGAACTGATGTGACTTTCTGCCTCACCTCCACAGACCAGCAGCGCTCTCCCTCTTGGGAGAGGAAGCCGAGACCTAGTGAATGTAATGCTGGGGGCCAGGCAAGGGGTGTGAGAAAGAATCAAGTACAGTAAAGTCCCTACTCTCACTAGTGTTTAAATAAATCTGCCACAGCTAATCATTTGCACTRTTTCACTTTGACACCGGCACAGGCATACTGCTTATACCTACCTCGTGACCAATTGAGACCCCATCACACAGCTTACAACACCATCCATCCTCTCGCTCCCTTTTGCCCCTAACTTCCATGTCCTATAACTAATCACACAACAGAGCTTCTGTGCTGCAGTTCTGTGGCAAGTAATATGAGGACAGACAGGAAGAAATGCCACAAGAACTGGACGTTCCTTCCTGCCTGTTAATTTATTCTGAAAATTCATGTGAGGCGATATAAAATCCAACACTGGAAAGATCTGCAGAGGAAGGCAGACCCATAAGGAGACCTGAAGCATGGCAGACATCAGGACAGGCTCTGAGGACTTTAAAAGCAGTAGTGAGAAAAGGTTGTGTTAAGCAACAGCAGAGCAAAATAACCAGAAGCCACAGAACTCCTGGAAATGCAGACAATCACAGGGGACAAGGGAACGTGCCTTCCCCGTTCCGTACCTGCCATGATTGCCTGGCTGCTCCCAAGTGTCTGAAGAATAAGCTGAAGCTCTCTGACTGCTGCAGCTGCTTCTTCCCCACAGCACATATCAGGCTCCATGACAACCTCCATGAGGCCGACTCCTATCAGCAAAGGAGACAAGAGATTTACAACAATAGCTTTTGATCTTGGCATACTAGAGTACAGCTGGCTAAACACATGAAACACTTGGGTTTTTTTTTTTGAAAAAAGAAATGAAACTCCATGTATTATTTAGTAACTGTCACAACGGGCCTGGCTGCAGACTGCTACAAAACCTTTTCCTCCTTTTATTTTTTAAGGGAGCAGGCAAACRGCGGACATTCCTCCAGCTTTGATGACATTCAGAACAGAAGGAAAAACTCCTCTGCCTTTCTTTCAGAGAACTCCTATTTAAAGTCACTCTGATCTCCAATTCAATTCGATTTTTCTTAAACTAATTTTGGAATAGGCAGAACTGTTGTACTCTAGTACACTTGTACTCTAGTATTTAGTGTCAGAATCCAGTTTTCAGAGCTTAAGAGCAGGGGACACTGAAGCAATGCGTCTCAGACAGGCTTCGCCATCCAGGTTACTGCCTATGTTGGGCACTAGCTTGATTCATGTAGTTTATAGTTGGGAGATTTTTCTACATTTTTTTCAAAGTTATCAATTAAAAGAAATGTCCGACTCATGCAGTCATGACCCCAACARCTACTCCTTCTATACATAAACTTCCCTCATTAGGAGTCCGTGATATTTTTTAAACAATGCTTACAGTAGCAGGAGCTTATATAGTTCTCTGGGGTAAGTGGTTCTACGTGACTGACAGCTTTGGGGAAATGGAGCCAGCAGATTTTTAACTTGCTGCTTCCAAATACATCAGCCCACAACCATGAGAAAGGCCCACTGATGACTAAAGAACTGCAAGCATTCCCCTGCTGCAAATGTAACAGTCCYTTTGTTGTGTTTTGCTTTTCAGGGAAGGAAACATCAGGTTGTTTTAATTTTTCATATGTTCCCTGTCACCCATTTACCTTTAAAGATTAACTTTAAACAGAAAGGAGGAAAAAAATGGGAAAATAATCCAAGCCTACCAGCCCTATTCAGGTCAACAAGGGTCTGGSTCCTTGCATCATCATGGAGACTCTTCCCACTGTCTTGTTCCAACTGGATTTGCTTAATCCTCACAGTTTTCGTCACCATCTGGCTCATTTTATTGTCTATGCAGAAACTGTATGAAAGACTCCCATTCACTGCAATAGGAACTCTTTGCTGAGTGATTTGATAGCCAGCCTGTCAGCAAAATTAGTGGTATAGTCAAATAAAACATTCACTTTACAGGAAGCAACAACACAARTGCAGGTACTAAAGACTAAAGACCAAGTACAAAATGAAAAATGTAACATTTTCCATAGTGACCTAAGTGAGGGGCTAGAAAAGCATGTACAAGCAAATTTCCAAACTTACTATTTCAATGGAAGGGAAGCAAACTTGAAGATAGGAYTCACAGTAACTATGACAAGTTGTAGATCTGGAGGGGTGAGGCAGAAAGGAGAGCACAAAAGGGCAAGTATGAAGATACTAGACCAGTGCAGAAAGGAARTAGACTAGAAGAGGTTCTTCCAGCTGTGATTCTGTGATCATGTTATATCCTATCTGAAGACACTAACTCTACCTCCACCCCAGGCTTGGTGAATCTCCCTCTCTGCCTGTTCAGCACCTCCTTATCAGACAGATGGGAAAAGAAGAAAAGTGGAAGGAAAGACAAAAAAATTAAAAAAAAGAGAAATCTCAGTTTCATTAATGCAACAATTTACACTGCAATGAACACTGAAACCCAACCTAAGGCTGAAAAATGCCATAGCAGCCTTGTCTGAAAGAAGAAATTGCAGTCAGACAAAAGGCTGACAATGACAATGGATCTGAATCAACTGCACTGACCCAAGAATATAGGAGTGAAAAACTTACTCTGTTGAGGTAGAGTCCCCATCTTTTCCTCCTTGTTAGCAAGATCAGTGGTGAGAATTAAAAAGTGTGCCAGATTTCAATGAACTGGGAGGAGCATTTGTTTGTTTTGCAAGGAGGGGGGATGTTACTCCAAAGTTTGGAGATGGTGACAGCGTGTTTTGGCAGAGTGCAATAGCCTGGCACAATGAGCAGCTCATATATAGACGATGAAGCGCCTGACCTTCTAGCCATAATCACTGTAATAAAAATAACTGACTCCTTGCAGTCTATACTAAGCATACAGCTTTTCCCACCTCCTGTAGCTTCTCATTAAAATGATTTTTTAAGAGCCTCGAATACTGAGTGACAATAAATAACAAGAATCCCATTTCCCATCCAATGCCCCATTTTCAGGGCTAACAATAATCTCACTGTCAAAAGACCTTAAGAGTAGGATTTATTTTATCTGTTCTACACAGCTCATTAGCCTAAACATTGCATCTTATTACAGGATTCCCAACTAGMCTGTTTCAGTACGAAATGCATGTCAGGCAGTTTATTGTCAGTGTTTTAAACAACAGAAACCAGCCACCAGAAAACCAGAATTATATGTTTCAAGTTAATAAAATGTGTCAGCAACTCCTTGACCCAAATTTCCATGCTTATCTGACCAGAGGATTCTGTAGTTCATGTCAGTAAATAAGGGCAGTGTGCTTACTTACTATACATACCCTCAGAAAATCTGACGTTGTTTTCAGTTTAACAGCAGAATCACTAAATCTGTGGTTCACAGATTGGGCAAGCAGATCTGTGATGTTTTTGATGTATAATGGAATTCTGAAAGYTGTGTTTATTTGTTGTTATTTCACTTTTTTTTTCTCCTTCAGATCTATAAATGGTCCTTGAGTCAGTTTTGCAATTAAAAAAAAAGTACTAATAATTTGAAGCGGTGTGTTTCATATCCCTCATAGCTTACTATCCAACAATAAGACCTCTTGATGGCTCACAAATATTAATGAAGTTATCCCTGCAAGCAGAATTTGCAATTAGGTCAACTTCACAGAAGGGAAGCTAAGAGGCAGAGGTTCCTGACAAAGAATAAATCAGTACCCAGATCTCCTCTGAGATGAAGATCTCGAGTGGACAACTGCAATACCGTTCTCTGTCTAAGGTGGAAGGCAAATGTATTTCAAAGTATGAATTTYATGTGGCTTCAAAGTGTTTCCAATGCCTAAACAAACAGTGGGAGAGAAAGCAATCTGGTTGATAACACAGCACCTTTACATATTGACTTGAGATCTGAGAAATCCTCCATTCTGCTTCTCTGACTATTTGGGACACCTCACCTTAAGACAGGTTAAACTATCGTGCCTGATCTATCTCAGATCAAATTGAAGCAGATTTATTCTTTTTTAAAGCAGTCACCAGATCTTTACCCCTCCCAAATCAGATGAACTAAAACTAGCGCTCCTCTTTTTGACAGGTTAGCATTAAGTTGAATGACAATCAGAACAAACACACTGTTTATAATTAGAAAGGTTTAATGTCATTAAAACAGAAAAAAAAAGCTCAAACTTTACTGTATCCTGCTGTAATTATGGAAGTCATGTTCTTAATTCTTACATCCACATCAGATGTATTAAACTTTCCAAACACTCCAAATACAAAACCTACCAACAAACTACACAAAGATTCACTTTTAAATTTGCTGGAACCCTCGACACAGAAAAGTCTTAAAAGAGAAATTAAATATTTTAGGTCCTTAATCATAGAAAAAAATAAACTGTTACGTTTACATCTTTGAAACCTGTGTTTGTTATACATTAATTTTCAATGAAGGACTATGACTAGACTGCTTTTACCCTAACAGACAATTAGTACTAAATGCCAGGAATAGAAAACTTAAGGGGCAGAGTAGCTCCAACTCCCAATTCAATTACATTAAGCCACTGGAATCGTGCAGCTAAGCAAGGAGTCAGCAATCACAGCAATCATATTCAATCAGTGAGCACCGGGGTACAGCTGTCTATTTATCAGCACACAGCACAGAATCCTGTTGAAGGGAGCAGACTGAAAACAGAATAAGCATCTCTTCACTCATACCCTATTGCCATCCATGCTCCAGACCTGACCTTTCCTACAGCTGTAAAGAAACCAGCTATATTGCATACTTACAGGAAGATCTGCATAGAAATAGTGTTTTCTGTCAAACAAAGACTTCTTGTTTATGCTGCAGTTGAGTGCCAGGCCTGTCATCACTGCCGCTTCTACACATCTCCTGTTGAGAACCTAAGGAAACATGACACATGATTTTGCTCAAATACTCAGTATGTAACAAACGCGTCTCCCACACGCTGCCTTACATGGGGCGTATATACAGCTTTGCTCAACATGGGATCTCTTTCCTTGTGTGGGTAGTCCTTATTTATCTTTAAAGCAGTGGTAGCTACAAATCTGCAAAGTCTTAAGATGAAAAAACAATTYGTCATGCCACAGAGGCGGTGTGCATTATTCTAACTTGCCATTTTTGTGAATACTACAGTACTTTTGCCTCCTCAAAAATACACAAAAGACAAATCACAACAAATGATAATTGGCTTGTACCCAGCTGCCACCTCACTGGGAACACAGGGTCTCCAAGTTAGGGATTGGGGTGCCATTTCTGTAGAACACCRCAGAATACCTGCACCCACACTGAAGTCATGAGAATTTACCCATAGACTTCTGTGCTTTGCTGAGCAAGGATGAAATTACGCATATATACATACTTTGCTAAAGCAGAAACCAAAGACACCTCAATTAATCCTATGGCTGCTGGCACACACACATTTCCAGGACCAAAGAAGCCCTTGGGCTTAAGGTTCTTGCAGAATGCCTCAGAAACTGGAGATCCAGTAAGACTTGGCGAGCAAATGAAGGAGCTGAAGTGAGGCTGCAATTCTCCTTGTGGATCTAGCACTCTCTGTTCAACAACATTCTAGCCCTCCAGTACATTCAGGATTCTGAGGAGAAAAATCATTCTACTCCAGAAAAGGACTAACAAGCAAGGTTGTAAAGGTAATGATTTTTTTTCAAATGTACTCTCAGTAATTTAACAGTTGCAACTAACATTAAATTGATAAAACTAGGGGGGGRAAAGGCTGATTTTGCCCTACATAACTGTGGCATGCTCCCATTTACTGTGTTTTGAAACAAGAGTACAATTTTATCCATCTTATTTTGCTCTGTATAGCTGCCAAAAAGCCAGTTTCCATCAGGACCACTCAAGGGGCATATCAGGTACAGGAATTTAGAAGACTTCATCTATATTCAGCATAAAATAAAAGGGTMGCTCCAAAGTACTATGTTCCTCACTATTTCTGAGTATTCACTTTGCATACACAGCAGCCTGACTTCTGAGAACAGATTGAGCAGCTGTACTTTTCCCATCACCTTCTTCTTCACTGCAAAAGAGCTCTCTGCTTTAGTTCCCTAGTGCTTGAGAAATCAAAATTGAACTGAAAGTAACAAAAATACTTTATGTAACAGAATCTTAAATACTGCCTCAGATCTGTGACCAACTAGAACACTGCCCTAGTGAGGCAGATTATATTCATTAAAATTTTCTAAAGACAAATAAAGYAAATTTTGAAAGAGCAAAGCAAACTATTTTCCCTAGAAATGCTGACCTGCAGCCAAATGTAACCAATTAGTCATGACTGTACACTAAATTAAAATAAGCAAGTTCAAAATATCAATTTAGTTTATTGTCATAGCTGCAGTTCATTACCTAGTACATGCTTCTATTTTCAGCACTTAAATGCTGAAAATAGTATTTAGCCTCCAGATAGTACAGATTTTTTTTAGACAGTTTAAGGAACCTTATCATAAAGTTAGCCCAATTGTTGAATGTGTAAAATATGGTAACATTTCTAACTACATAAGCAATGCTTCTTCCTTCTAAAGCCTTACAGCACAAGCCTATTCAGCTTTAAGAGTTAAGGAGGTCTGTGTCAGTCAAGGCCTTTTAACTGGTGATCACCAAATCCCATAAGGCTCTATCCATTAAGGCTCCATAGGACTGGGCAGACTCAGATCACTGCTCCACCAAAGCAGCGAACACATGCCCCATATCTTGTTATGATGTTTCCTTATGGGGAAGGGATTACGAATGTTTCTGAATCTGAAAACAAGGTAAAATCCAAGACACTCAGTTGCACTCACTCTCAAAGCAGATGCAGCAATCACAGGTGGAGTTTTGCTAGTGACTGTACAATGACCACCTTTGACCACTTGCTCTTCTGCTTTCATTTCAAACAGAATAGAGTATATCTGAGTCAACAGCCTAAGAGATAATATTATTTTGGGCTGAAGAAAATAATCTCCACATATATTTTACATTAATAAACTTCTGCACTACTGCTGGTGAGCCATTTTGGTAGCTGTGCAGAAAAAATGGCCAAAAAAAGTGAAATAATGATTTTTTTCAATGAAGTATTACAAAGCATTTGGATTAATGTGATGCATGTGTGCCTCAAAGGACTGGATCTTAGCAGTTCAAACACTGTACATGTATCATTACCCATGCGCTAGTAAAACTTTCCATGTTATTTCCTTTTTGACCTCTGTGTCGATAAGACATTGCAAATTGAATCGTCTCTACAGTGCCATATTGAGATGTCTACCACACCAATCTGCTTCCCTTCCCCTGTTTGACACTTAAATAAAAAATCTGATGGCCCTCTACTTCCTTAAAAACCAAAGTTTATCTGCTTAATTTTTCTTCATTTCCAAAGTGACTAATTTACTACTACCTGTTCCAGTATTTCATGATCAAAGCTGTGTACATAAAGAAGAGACAGTTAGGCAAACTACCACTTTTCCTTGGAACAAGCCTAGCTTTTCAAATAATCTACAGTGATAAACATCAATTCAGTACGTGAAACTTCCCATACTAATGACCTAGGATAAGTCCCCCCAGCTTGTTTATATAGTAAGCTGTTATTAAGTTGACAGCTTTGACTAGCACCAAAGATTTAAATTATGGTCTTGAACTGACAAGCTGCCAGTCTGGTACGTTAGCAAAGTGCTGGCCTTTGCTAACATAGAAAGAAAGCTATGTATTTCCTGGAATAGCTATGGACACAACACAAGGGTCTAGAATACCTTCTTAAACATATCTGGTCTTCTAAAACCAGACCTCTCTCAGGTATTTATTTCAAGAAACTCCAAGAAAGATACCACAAGTGAATCTTAATTGTTTGCCTTAAAAAAAAAAAAAAAAAAAAAAAAAAAAAACACCCTTAACAATAGCTAGCATCATTTCCCATGTAGCTACATTACCTTGCTAGAGCACCATGGTAACTGAGAGCCAAAGGAATGAAAGAACAATCCAAAAAAATCTCTTTTTCTGATACTTGTCTGTTCTTTACATGTTCTCCCTAGAAATTTTAAGCTTCTTTGCTTCCAGGTCACACATTTACATATTTTAATGAAATAATTCTATATTAATTGGCTATCCCAAGAAGACCTTTATTTCCATTTATAAACATAAAGAAATCACCACCCTGTGATTTGTATTGTAATTAAATACAGAACTAATTATTTACAAAATATTTAATTTTATCTTCTTTTCATTCAGAGTAACAGCTGTAAGCAGGAACTCCTGCAATGTATTTAGCCAGCTCTCTGTACACCATGCATTAATCTTCAAAAATCTCAACAGATATATCTAATCATATTTCCAGGTACTCCTACTGCATATCCCTCTAATTTTTATTTAATGGATATATGCAGCCTTATCATTCCAATTTGTTAAAAGTCCCACTTTGCTCTAATATATGGTTCTTTGAAGTTCATTCATAAGTTTAACCTCAAAATAAAATGCTCCCACATCTACTGGTTCTAAGTGTGATTGCAACTCGTGATTTTGACTCTGCAGATAAATACTTCAATGCAGGGTTCTTCCCACACAGAAGGCCACAACTATCTTGTAGATGGGATTKTCAGGATATACATTAAAACTCATTAAGAACTAACCATATCCCAAATGATCCACTTATTTCAACAGGTCTAGGATCAGACTCAACCCTCTAAGCATACTGTAAAGGCCTTTTTTTTTTTTTATTTAAAAAAAAAAAAAAAAGTCTTGTATTTAAAATATGAGTCTCATTACTAATCTGGCCTGCAAAGATACTGCATGTTCCACATAAATATATAGGAGGGGAGTTACAAAAAATGAAGAGTATCATAGTAGAGTCACAAAAATGTCTACTAATCTAATATTTTTGAGACAAATTTTGTTGAACCTAGTCAAATAGTTCAGAAAGAATTAGCTGGTAGTGCAACTGCTAGAGTAATGTCTCTGCACATAAAAATATGGTTGAGTGGCAAACTATGGCAAGAAATTGCATGTGTAACTAATAAAATGCCCACAGCAGAAGCTTACATAATCCCTATCAAAATCAAAAATACAGGTATAATTCATTGAAGGTGGCAAGGTGTCTCATAATCAGGGAGRAGAATACAATGAAAGAACTTATTTTTGCGCCAGAAACCAATTACAGCCTAACCACACCAAGACAACCTTCAAATAAAATATGTAAAATTGACAGTGASACAACATTACATGAGACAACTACTCAAGATGAAAACAAAAACCTAGTCTTGCACTTATTTGTCATTATTGTTGGACAGTTTCCTAATGACTTCCTAATGCTAAAAGTCTTCAAAGAAAAAAAAAATGTTAATAAGAACAATGAAGAAGATGYTGCTTTGCACAGTCAAAATGCTAAAAAGCAAAACCAGCAGAATTGTACTTGCTACYGAAATCCTTGTTTAGCAGAACACTAGTTGCATACACAGACATATGTATACACTACCTTGGAGTTTCCCAAAGTGAGACACCTAGAATCAGACCAATGGTTTGCATACTGCCAGAAAATTTAAATCAAATTCAAAGTTACCAAAGCATGCAAAATAATTGATAACAGATGCAATAATAATTTGCCTGTCCAAAAATACCCACCCATAGTTCAAACTTAACAACAAGATAACCCCCAGCACATTAAGATAGAATATTTGCAAAGGGMTACTGTGTTTTTCAGTAGAAATTTCGGATTAAATCTATGAAGATGAGTCATAGATCTGTGCTGTCAGGTAATGGTCTTGCTGTCCAACAGTAACAAAGATGCCACAATAACTGTGGTAGTGGAACTATTGAAGGAAAGGAAACAAGACATTGCAAATGCCCACAAAGAAGTAGAAAAAATGCATAAAGCAAAGGTACTGAGAAAAAGACACTAAAGGAGATAAAAATACAGAGATAACATCACTGATGTACTGAAGGATCAACTGGAAGAGATTTTAGTTAAGATTTTTTATCAGCTCAATGCAGTTCTAACTGGCAAGTTTACATCAGCCAGAGGGACCTGTTGAGGATGCATGAGGGAAATGTAGCAACAACAAAAGGGAAGGAAGGTATTGAAGGTACAGCAGTTTTTGAGGTACCAAGGAGACAAAGCCCCGTAGAAATTGTTTAGCCTTGACAAAAAGATTAAACTCACAGAATGAATCTTGAACTTCTCATAAATAAATGAGACACAGCAAAAAGCAGAAACAGTTGGAAGGGACACCTCCAAAGCTTGAGAGAAGAGAGCAAAGGTGTCTCCAGAAAACTGGTAGTATACCTGAAGTATGAAATAAAGTTGCCTCAAGCAACTGCAGTAAATGGGGAGGTATTTTTTCATGGGGGGGGAGGGGGAAAAAAAGCATTACGTTATTTCCAAAAATAAAAGAAGATTAAGATCACAGCAACTCAACCAACATGCACACAAAGATCGGAAGACTATCCAAGTGCTCAAGAAAGGTATGTGCAGTTTAAAAGATTGTTATCAAAAGGCAAGCTAAGAAGCAAGGTTTTTGAAAGGAAAGTATGAAGAAAGGAGTAAGTTCATATGCATGTCAGTAGGAACGTCAAAACAAAACTGAAGTCACAAGTTGGCAAAACAGCTGTTGCAATCACCAGATTTAACAGGTGCCAGCTATCAAAAACCTTGTTTAAAATGTAGAGCATACATTTTAGTCTCAATTACTGTTTCCATTCCAACACGGATAGATGAAAGATAGATCCATCAAAATAACACAGACAGCTCTCAGCAGCTTTGAAAGCAAACTTCTCAGGTAAATCCTGGATATTAAACACACCCCAAATTCACCAAGGAGTCACCAGGGATAGGTTAACCATGCAAGGTATATGTCACTGCCAAGGACACATGAAGCCTTGCAGTAGTTAGAATGACTAAAGCACCCTCCATATTCGAGGCTGAGTATCATCCCTATCAATTCATTAGACAGACATTCCACAGTGCAGTGCTGCAGACAGAGAAGGCAACAGCAGGACACACACATTCCCTGYTACTGCCTACTGTGGCAGCAACATCCTCAGCTTTCGAGATGTCAAAGTTGGGGGTTGAAGCTGCCAGAATCAAGGGCTAATGGCTGTTCTAGCACCACTTTGTTTCATAAGAAAGCTGCACTCCATTACAGGAATGTCATTATACAGCTGAAACAAGATACAGATGGGCCTGAATAACTAATTTCAACAGTATTTAGAGAGGGAATAATAAAGGACTTTAAAACAAGGGAATACAGTAGAGGAGCGGCAATGAGSAAGTTTCCAGGTACGTCTAGGCCAGGATGCCTAATGCAATCGGAAAAAACCCATATTCAAATAGTATCAAGCATCTCACACAAGGTTCTATAGCAGTGCTCAACACAAGCTTTATTTTTCCTGAGAACAGAAGAATTTTATTTTTTCTTCACTGGAAACAGAGCTTGATCGTTACCAAGTGTTCAGAAAACTCTAAAAAGAAAGAAGAGACCGTTCATAYTGCGAAGAGAATAAGGTTTAAATGCACAAACAAAAGTGTCAATGATTTCAAAATCCTTAAGACTGTAGGGTTATCATYCACTCAAATCTTTATTAATTTAAACCTTGGTTATGTAAATCCTAGATTACTTCTTAACACACTTGCCTACAAAGAAATTGTATCATATTTCCAGTTTAGTCATGAAGGATGCAAAGATAAATAATTAACAACACAGGCTGTAAACACAGACAACAAAGGTTTCATCTACTAGATCTACCATCTTATTTCAGTAGCTGCTTCTTTCAGTTATGAGAAGGAGCTGGATCTGCTTTCTGTGGGCCCAATCTCACCCATAGAAATCTTTATAAAAATTCAATCATTCTCAAATCAGACAGCAAGTGGGATCTTTGTGGATCCTTAGAAGAATTTTTTACATCATTCTCAAGGTACCTATGCTGCACTATATGCTTCCAAAATGTAGCTTAATACTTTCTTCATACCAGGTTTTCTAAATACACTAAGGTAGGTTCACATGTAAAATAATACACCTTTGCACAGGTCATAAAATTCTGAGGACTCTCATTAAATGGGGGGAAAAAAAAAAAAAAGAAAAAGGAGATCCATGCAATAATCTGAAGCTGTGTGTTCTATTGGCGAAAAGTTCTACTATGTCTAATGGACGTGAAGCATGAAAATGAAGCCTGTACAGCAGGACAGTATGTGCCCTTCTGTCCCACTACTGATTTTTTTTTTTTTTAATCAAAGCTTTGCTGCAACTATCTTTTTCTCTGCCTCATTTCAAAGAGGAGTGTGTCTGCATGGTTATTTGTGCATGTAGCTCTCTCTCAGAGGTACATTAGGAGAGCAGCACAGTGAAATGGCCATGACACTCATGCTGTTTGTGATGGTCCTGCTTGAAGAAGCAGAATAAAATATGCTATACTATAATACCAGATGAAAATATCAAAGGAAAAAGACAGAGCAAGCAGATTCTTCTATTTCCCACTCTCCCATGCAGAGCACAGCAACAGCAAAGGATAACGCCCACACTCAACAGCAGCACAGAAATATGTGACAATCTGAAAAGCTCCTGCTAGCACCATTGTTGCTAGTCCCACTGCAGTGCATTACAGGAAAGTAGTCATCCTTTTATGTCACTATAGCTCTCATAAAGAAACTTAGATCACCAGATATTCTCTGCTACCAATAGCACAACTACTGTATTCTTCAGTACTAATGAAAATTTGTTCCTTTTTTTCCCYACACCTCACCAAAGTGGAGTTTAAGGAAAGGCCAAGCATTTTATCCTCTAGAGAGACTTAGCAGGCAATGACATTGTCATATGTAAAGATTTTACTTGTTTTTTTTTTTTTTAAAAAAAACAATATTTAAAATTTTTCAAAACACATCAAAATATATTTACTTCTATTTAAAATATTAGTCACACACAAAAACATTTTGTTATTCTAAGCTAATAAGTCCACCTATTTGCTATCAGAAAGAAAACACTGTTCTCCATTACTCATGTAGCAAGGCCTTCAAGAAAATAAAGCCACGACTAAAGACARGATTCTGTGTCAAATTCTATCATGCATGAATGTGCATTTGTAATATTCACTTTCTACTCTACCTTTGCAACTACTGCCATGCGAAAAATCTTTTGTCTCTTTCTGTGGATAAAAACAGCTGGTAGAAACAAACACGGGATCCTTTTCAATCATCTTAACAATCTGCTTTTGCAGGTGCAGTTACCTTCTCTGCCAAAGCCTATGTGAACTAGGCCATACCAAGCCTTATTGGTAAAGCACTGTAACAGAGGAGAGAAAACCAAACCAAAACAAACCCTGGACAAATATGGACAAATCATAATGTCTTAAAAAAAAAAAAAATCTCCACAAATGCTAATTTTTATTTCTTCTTGAGCAGATTTTCAACTTTACTGAAGTATTAGACAATTTATTAGGATTTCTGTTTATTACCAAARTTCTACGTAGAAGACCTAAAACCGGGATCTTGAACTTGTAAGTTTAAATTTTATGATCATTAACTTCATAACCTACCCTCAAGCAAAAGGAAATCATTTTCCATATTCAAGTCTAACTAGATTTTCTAACAAAAAAAGTCACAATTATAAATCAGTCCTGGATTAACACTGAGATCAGAGTCATATCCAGATTCTACCAGCATCTAAACTCTACACTCTACTTCATCAAGTTTCAATACCTCGGCAAATGCAGAATGAATGCATCAAAATATTTCTTGTTTTAAACATCAAATAGCATATACCACGCCCTTAAAAATCTAGCCATGAGTTGCCATGAGTTAATCTGCCATTTCAGAACACTCTTTAAGACTACATTATGGTGAACAAAAGAAATGCTTCAAGTAGACTAAAAATATATACCTGAAATTGGAATTCAAACCTCCACTCTAATAAATATATTCAGGAAGTACCTTTGCATTAAATAATTTGACCCCATTATAGTCTCTGCATGCTTGTTCCACAAGGTAACATTAAGTCCATTCAATATTTATTTTCATGGCAGAGTAGGAAGTACCTGTTACACTTTCTAACCATTATTTTCATATTTAAAAAGTTAGGTTCCCAGACAATTCTGTTAATCACTGTCCCTGCCATCAAAAACAACAAAACATTTTTAATTAAACTGTGACTTTAAAATTTTTTATGAAACCACTAATAAATTCTCATTTGCTAAGTGCTAGCATGCCATTCCAACTTGTTAGTCTGCAAAATTTCACATGAATTTTTTTTTTTTTTTTTTTTTTCCTAATCATGTTACAGTGTAAATAGGAATGGTTGACTCTTCTAAATTTTCAGTTAAAAGTTCCTTCTAAGTTTCAGCTTAGGAAATCAAGTGCTCTGCAGTGAGACTTTCCAAATGGCAGCTACATAAATATGCATATGGCAAAGTATCATCAAATGGACACTTGGAAATCTAGGATGTTCTTCTCRCATTTTGATTTTGAGTACCTTTTCATATTTAAGGGGTTTTCTGTGTGGCATACTAACTAAATACACCTAATTCTTGTCTGAGAGAAATACTGCTAGTCTTTCAATATACAGCAGAGATACTCCTGATTTTTTTATCCTTAACAGAATATATCAAGTATCTAAAGTGACAACTAAGGAGGGGGTAAAGGGTAAACTGAAAAGAAATAACATTATAGGCATCTCATATTATCATACAAACAACAAACAGAAAAATACATACAAACACTTCTATAGCCAAATTACAGGAAGAATATGGAATCAGCACTGCACTCAGTCATCTGCTGAACTAAAGGGTTGACATAAAATCTAATGTAAATTAAATTGAAACAAAACTTACTGGTAAGGTTCCTGGTAAAGAAGCATCAAAGAAAGATACCAAGGAGTTAGGAGGTGCTGCAAACTGGACTTGGGAACCAGAGAAAAGTTTTGAGTTGGAACTAATTTGCGCATGAATTTCCAGACCCACAACTGGCACCCAGGAAACAAGACTGAAAAAACAAAAGAGAAATATAGTTAAAGTACAAATGACATGTTATCATCCATGACCACCTGAAAGATATAAGAATTAAAAAAAAAAAGAAAAACTTTTCCTTTCTAACAAAAAAGTCACCATTATAAAGAAAAATTGCAAATAGAGTTGTAAATCTATCTACAGTTCACTGGCAGAAATTGTGCTACAGTACTGGAGATCAGGGACTAATCCACAATGTATGCACAGAGAAATACGTGGCAAAATGTCTTTGTTCTACAGGAGATTATTCTGTAAAAATAGGTCTTAAACTTTTAACTTTTAACTCCCCCCTTACGTGAGAAATCTTGCAGGAATCCATGAAGCAACTTGCATGTTTGATGAACTCTAATTTAGTACTCCATGAAAATCACAGAATCATCATAAATATCAATTACATCTCATGTAGCTTTATAAATCTCCAACAGACAGGTGGCATAATAAATTATGTATTCTTTGACAGCTAGTCACTGGCATGCTGGGAAAGGTGGCTCTCCAGAGCAATGTTGGTAGTATATTAGCATAAACACTAGTAATCTGATAATAGAGAAATCATCGTTTCAACTAGAGAGCTACTGCTCTCTGAACATACTGAGCGGAATAGGGCTTCTCCATATCACCTGAAAAGTAATTGCAATTCTCACATCCATAACCTTTACATGGACAAGAGAAAAGGGTCACCTTTACCGTATGAATTGCTTGACARTTTCTGCAAGTAATTATCTGGCCTTGTACAAATGAAGTGGCACAAATAATATTTCAGTGATGAAATCACATTTCTATGACAGGATACTTCAGCAATATAAGTACCTAGATAGCTATAGCAGATAAGTGAGCTATGGAAAAGCTTTAAACAAATCTATCAAGTATAGTGTTCCTTCCAAAGGTGAATGTAATAAACTGACAAGATTTTAGTTCTCTGTCTGCCCTCCAGCAGCTGAAGACATCCCTATAAACCCCAACTCGCAATGCAGACTCACATTGCTCCTTTAGGCAGAYGGATATTACGATAAAAGAGTAAATTTCAGATATTTAAATGAGCTTTTACATTWTTTATTTAAGTAAAAACCAAAAGCTTTTAAACCATGTTTCAGACTACAGATCTGAAGTCTCCAATCCCAATTCCTGTGCTTTTAATTAAACAAACTATATATTACCATACGCATTAATAACTTGGAGACTTTGCATTAATTGCTGAGCTGAACTTTGCAAAGACAATAAGAGGTTATTTACCAATTCACTATAAAGCACGCTAATGCTTTCTTAAACATGATTAAAAAAGGATAAATCTTTCAACTTGGAGTATCAGATTCTATTCTAAACAGAAGCATCTACTTTTATGGCACAAAAAGAAAAAAAAAAGAAAAAAGAAAACAGAAAAAAGCTCACATTTCTCTAAAAAGTAAACTAAACCTGAACAAGTGTGATRTCAGCGCTACAGCACATCATCAGTGATCAAAGCACTCAAGAAGGTAGAAAAGTGATCAACCCTTAAGTTCCTGCACGACCTGTTGGATGCAGCACCTTTTTTAGCACTAGAGCAAGATAGTCTATATTTAAACATTTTGATTTCTGGTGTTATTTAAGAATGACAATAAAGCACATGAGATTATTTTGTACTTAATTTTGCTTAGTGCAATATTCAGCTGGCAAATCTCATTATGTCTATGGTATTTTCATAAAGGTATTTCAGTTTTTTTTTTTTTTTTATAAAATTTTTTTTTTTTTTTTGCACCTCCATTCCTCGCATCCTTTCTTACATCCTTATGGAATCCCTCTTACCTCCAGGCTTTAAAAACTGCATTAGGCTTCACTTCATCCATGTGCTGACTTACACTCACCTACAAAGGTACGCACCTCAAACCGACCCTGAGTTCTGCTTGCAAGCCTGAAGAGAAATACGGAGTTTCTTGCCATGCTTGCTCAAAGTTTATTTTTATTCTGTGGTCAAAGAACCAGTTTAAAGAAGTAAACTTCTGCTGGTGCCTACATAACTTTACCTTGGTGATGAGCTGTGCAGGGGAACCTGAATCCTGACAGAGAACATGAAAGCCCAGCACAGACCATAATTAACATAATTCTTTCTTTTCTGCATCTCCAAGCAGAAATAAGACACTCAGGCCTAARCAGCCTTGTCAAAGCTTCAAGCAATCTCCTCTAGGAAGTTTTCTTTAGACTAGAATTCCCCTCAAAAAAATATTTTGGAGTATTTTGGAGCCCTTGGGGCCAGCACTGCTTGTAACTCCTTACAAGCAAATGCTAAGGTTTTCTAAAACACTTGTACAGCACAGAGATGTTGCCAAAGACACAGGCAACAGGCACTGTGGTGCACTATAAGTGTACTACTACTTCTTTACCTTTTCATTTTTTACTTTTTTTTTTGGGGGGGGAAGAGGGGATGAGAGTGGAGGATAAGGGAGACAGACATGAGATGGTGTTGCCGGCCATCCCAAAACTCATTCCTTCCAGAAAGGCGCACTTAAAACGGCTCCCGACCGCTTCTGCTCAGCGATGACGACCCAGTCAACGGACCCCGCAGGCTCCAGCAGGGCGCTSTAAGTGGGGGGGTCACCTCCTCCCCGCGCCGCGCCGGTGCCGGTCCCGTACCCGCTCTGCCCCGCCGGCACCGCCTCGCCTTCCGCATGACAAGCAGCGGTCCGAGCAAAGACAGGTGCCACTCCGTCACTGCACCGCCACACTCGGCGSCAGGCACGCTCGCATCTCCGCGCCACTGCCGCGGCCGCCATCTCGCCGGCCTCTCGACCGAGCACCGCCTCTGCCGCAGCGCSCCTTGGGAAATGTAGTCCGTCAGCAGGAGCGCCGCGCGATGGCGCAGGCTAAGCAACTACAAGTCCCGAGAGGCCAAGCGGCGGTGGGAGCGGRGAAGGGGTGACTCGTCTTGGCCACGCCCCTCCTGGCAGCTTTTGGTGCGGGGGCGGGGCCAGACTCCTCACGACCGTCAGTAGGGGCGGGGCCAGACTCCCCGCGGCCGTTGGTGGGGAGGCGGGGCCAGGTTCCTCGCGGCAGCCGTTGGTGCGGGGGCGGGGCCGGGCTCCTCGCGGCCGTTGGAGGGGGCGGGGTCACGCTCCCCGCGGCCGTTGGTGGGGAGGCGGGGCCAGGCTCCGCGCGGCCGTTGAGGGAGACGGTTGCGTGTGGCGGCTTCGCTGATACCGTCGYGGCCATGGGCGAAGCGCAAGGAGGGTGAGCCAGCGGTTTGGCTGCTGCTGTGCCTCTCAGGGCTAGAAGATGGAGGGAGCTGCCGACTGGTGCCTCCTTGCCTTCCTCGGGCAGTGGGGAACGTGATCTGGATTTTGTCCCCTGATGCCACTGTGGAGAAGCTTCTTGTGCTTCTTCAGCTCAGCACCAGCCTCGCTCCTAGCTTGGTTTAATCCCTCTGGGAGAGGCATCTCCTTCTGTGTGGGAGGACACCACAGCATCCTGTGCAAAGCTATTGCACCATAAGAATCCCAAAGAGTTTGGGGAAGCCTGTGATACCTGTTTCCATGGGCTGTCTACTTCTAGGAAAGCTAACAGTCACCCTAGAAATGCGGGAGAGAGCGACATTGGCCTGGGTTACTGTTTCTGTTCACTGTTGCTTGAAGTGCCTTAGGCCCCTCTTCTGCAAGAGTATTTGTTCCTGTGATGTCATATGGACAGAAAATCTGCTGATATTTTGTAGATATTTTTTATCTAGTCTTCAGCATCTAAAATCACCTGTATTTGTCTGTCTTGTTCTTGGTTGCTAAAACAGTTCAAGTGCAGTCTTAGATCTTGCTCTGTGTTCATTGAACAGCGAGGTCTAATCTCTGTAGGGCCCRGAGGTGTTATTGCAGTACAAATACATGATAATAAAGATTGCTGTCCAGGGCATGTGCAAACATCTCCGATGCTGATTACACAGCTACATTGCACAGACAATAGAATTAACAACCTTCTGTCCTAAACCACAGGCCTGTGGAGCTTAAATGGGAATGTACATTAGCTGTTGCTTATGTCATCTTTGCTTTATGTCAGCTATTACTAATAGAAGCTAATCAGTTCTAAATATGTGAGTAAGGTTGATTTCTTCCAGCAGAGGACACTGGTGTACCCAAGCACTGCCTTGTAACCTCTTGAACCTCTTGTCTTCCCAACCTCAGGTGTGGGGTGTTAAGAGAGTCAGAATCACGTGGCAGGTAATTTACCCAATTAAGAAAATGTTCCGCAACTCCTGTTTCATAATTTTAATTTTCTAATGTATATTTTGATTGAGTTGAAGTAATTAGAGTTTCCTCTATAAGAAGAACCTGTGAAGACTTGTAGCAGATAGTGATCTACAGTTACTTGTAGAATATAATTTCTACAAGGATGGCAGTGTATGGTATTTCCTGCCTCGCCGAATGTGCCTTCCTCTACCAAAGAGGATGATGAGGACAAAATTTCTTTGTGGTAAAGAATTGGCCATAGGCCATCTAAGGCACTTTCAAGAGAATGAAAGAACATCTGCACCTCCATTTCTTTCCCCCTCAGCTCTCAGACTAATCATACACTCTAGTGAAAATCTTCAAACCCAATGGAGTGGGTATATGATTTTGTGATAATTTTTATATGAGGAAAGTGTTGGGGTCTATTGCACTTACGCCCATGCAGTGTATTGCTAAGAAGAATCAGGCAGAAACCTTAGTATATTATTGCTGTATCTGAAACAGATTGGTTAATTTAAAAATTGTCAACCATGAATGCTGGATTTAATTACTATTTGATATTTTGTAGGGATTGACAGATCATATCAGCCCAGTTGTGAGGATGGTTTCTGAATAAGACTCTGAAATGTTTATACTGGTGTAAAAATGGTAAATTTTGAATTATTGTACTTTTTCTAAGCCTGTTATCCTGATGTAATGGAAGATTTCATAAATAATTGCAAAGAAGTTAAAACCTTATGAATATTAAAATCATGTTACTTAAAGTCTTACTCTGCCTTGGCTCTGCGGGCATATTATTTCAAAATGGAGCAAAAGGCATGGAAGATTTGGAAGCTGCTTTTCCCACACTGTTCCTCAGGAACTTTCATCTGTATGAGGTGGGTGACTTGGAGAATACCACTGAAAAGTAACATTGCTCTTGATTTAAATCGTCTCCGCACTATTTTAATACCTTTCCCAGAAAAAAAAAATCCATTAAAAAGCCCTTTTTCTTTGCAGCTGTGTGCTGGTGACCAAGTAGGTAATAAATGAAAGCTTGCACATCCATATACAGGAAGCTGATCAATCACAGACAAGCAGGGAATAATTGCCTTTCCCAGCAGCTTACTTTGAGGTAGAAAAGGCTGCTTATTTGTTCCTTATGTACCCTAGGCAGCAGCATCCACTTTCCAGTGTGTTTATAGATCGTGCTGTGGCTTGGAATAGCAAAATGTCTCCAGCACTATATAAAGATTTGCACAATGGTAGTTCAGTACTAACTATGGAGACTTAGGTCTTAAGGTAAATTTAGGGGACAGTTTCCTCTGGGTTGGCATTTCTTATTACTATAGGAATTTAACCAATGCCTGAGAGGAAACTGGAATTTTGTAGAGCACAAAAGCCCACCAGCATATCATCTAAGTCATARACCTGTGGTCTGTCCCACTTATTTGAAAGAATATCTCTCTGAATTTCAATTTATAGGGCTTGAACTCTAAATTCTGCTTTCTTGCAAGATAAGTTTAACATGCATACTTAGTCCTTTTGTGGGCTGTGAGATCTCCTTTTAGTAGCAAGGAAGGGGTATTCAGACTCGGGTGCTTGTTAGATATCTCACAGGCTATTCACACTGTCTTATTTCAGCATGTGAAATAAGGAACATGCGGGAACCCCTATTAAATTTTGAAATAGAAGGTGGGACTTTGGGAAGAGTAAATCTGTAGTCTATCAAATTATTATTATAATTATCGTCCACGAAACAGTAGTGAAGATTATTAAGTTCAGATGCAAGCTGTGATAAGGGATATTTTCAAACATCTGGCCTCCTCATATCACCTGTGAGCTGAGAGCCTTTTTATTTATTTATTTATTTATTTACTTACTTATTTATTTATTTATTTATTTTATTTTTTTCACTCCACAGGTGTAAGGAGAGAAATACTCTTTTCCTCCAGCTTTCAACTAATAAGGGCAATGGTATTCTCTGTCACCTTGGACATTGGTCCAACTCATCTAGCTACCAGTCATGGGAGATGGTAAATATATATATATATGTATATGTATGTATTTAAGAATATATATAGTATGCTTATGATTTTGCAGAAAGAGAAGGATATTTCTCTTGCACACAGGAGAAACCATTTAAGGAGATGATATAGCTACTTTGTATTATCTGCTGGCCATGTGTATTCATGCCCTCATCCTGTCATAGATGGGTGATAGGAGAGGCCTCGTGGTTTGCAGGCTTTTGCATTGAGGTATGTTATTGTACCAAATTTTGGCATAATTTTCTATTGTCAGATAGGTAATGACATTATATTTTATTTCATAAAAATAGTACTACTCATGATTTAAAAAAAAAAAAAAAAAAAGATCAGGCTCCACTAGGAAAAGAAACACCACAATAAATACGTATGTGTAATCATATTATATTGTGAGTATATAAATAATAAAGAAATAATAATTAAAAAAAAAAGGTAGAAAGTAAATTAGCTATTCCTGGAAGGCCATGTTGTAGGAGAGGATGAGTCTTTGGTTCAGCCATTAAAGGCACTCAAACTATGGCTGTATTACATTGATTTTCACATAAGTAGAAGTAGTGTATTTTGTACATGAGCCTTTCCTTTTCAAGAGAAGGCTTGTTCTCACCCTGAGTAATTGCTCTGCAGTGTTGCAATGACCTGGTGCTTGCACCTGTGTTTGGAATCAGGTGCTCGTAATCTTGGAATCTAGTTTGGGAGAGAGCACCAACCTTGTAGCCTTGTTTGGGAAAGTGCACCAACCTTGAGTTCATAGGCAGTGAGCGAGGGAGCAGAGGCACTACTGGATTTGCTATGACTGAGGGCTCTGAAGTCAAAGGCAGCCTTTGTTCTAGGGGATTCAGCACTGTGAGTTTTGTCTTATGGTAAGTGTCCAGTCCAAACTTATMTTCTCCTGAAGTGATATTCAGGTACTGTAGGCTTAAGAGGAGGAAATGATTGATCATCTTTCAGCTGATCTTAAAATTTATTGGTATATCCTCTTTAATTGTGGGAGTATCTGCATAAAAACGATAACCTTTAAAGATGTCTTCTTAACCTCTSTTTTCACTTTGTTTTTCTCTTTTTTATTTCATAGAGTAGGGGAAAAACATGCAGAGGTGGAAGAGACTTATATTTGTTTTGTGTGTGTTGCATTTTTGTATATTCCTTTTCTTCTATTTTGCAATTCTTAGCTGAAGTTTCAAAGAGCTGTTATGTCTGAGGCCTGTAATTTCCTAAATTAAGCACAACAACTCTTGTTACAACTCTTGTTTCACACTATCTATGACTTTATATATAAGGTCAAGGATATAAAATTTCAGCAGCATATGGTTTCGTATAACGTAGCACTAGTCAAGAACTTTCTCCCTTGACCCCTGCATGTAAGAGAAGGAGCTAAATGCTATTGTACAAGGCACAAGACTAAATCCTAATCTCCTTTTTTTTCTGAAGGTATTGTGACACAATCTTACAACTTCTTAGAAGTAGTTAGCTTTAGATAAATGATATTTTCTAAATGGTACTTGAAATAGAGATTGTTGTTTCTAGTATCCTTTAAAAATG